GCAGTAGACTCGAGACAAATGACCAATGGAAGAGCAAAAAGTGAGCACTGTAACTTGTGCAAACCAAGCCTGCAGGAACAGTGCTGGGCTGTTTGTTGTGTGTTGTAGGTCATGTGAAGCACACTGGTCCAAAATGACTTTTTTCTCACACACTACAAAAGGAATGGTAAAACGATCAAAAAATATAAAATTGATCCATATACGGTAGGTTAAATATTTGAAAGGTATTGAAGAACTGCATTGGTAGATCATTTTCATGCCATTCATGCAGCAGCCAACAGGAAGTCAGACAGCTCAGCCAGAGGAAGTCTCAAATGCAGACACTCTCAATCAGCTGTACTGTGAATGCTCTATAGGCACAAAAACTCAAAAGCCTGTGAAAACCTAAAAAACATTTTGGGGAATAGTCGTCCTTTATCCTTCTCTGTCTGCTAACAAGCTTGACAGGAGCATTCATGAGAGTTGAGATGGAAGTTGTCATTTGATGCATTTTTGTAACGCTCTGTGAACCAAACTTTTTAACTGACACTTCACAGTACCGTTCACCAAGGACTTTGGGTGTAATACACCTCCAGTAGACCGTTTCAGTTCGTTCAACATAAACCTTAGTCCAAAGTGGATTTCATTTTTCAACGCCAACCGCAGTCATTGCTAGAAACATCACTGCACTGGGCTGGAACACAGCTGCCAATACAGGGTTCTGCCTGTGAGGGCCAAAGTTCAGGGATCTCCTACATCCTACCATTGTTTTCAGAGGTTTTCCTGTGCTGTAAGGAGATAAGTGTCCACTGTGCTTTCAATTCCTGTCCCTAAACAGTGGAGGAGAAATTATATTGTAGAGCAGGTGTCGAGTGGAAGGGGTAGGGCTCTTGTAACGATAATGTATGGACTCTAGGTCATGAATATAAAGTGTCTGTCATGAATGTACTGTCTGCTCTCATAATGTGTCATATACAGGATATGTCATGATTAACCTGTATTGTAAGTTAGAGAGCAGCAGTAATGAGCCTGCAGAACATTAAAACATGACTCTTGACCTCAGACAGATAAGCAGACGTGCTGGATATCTAAAACTGATGTGTATTTTGCTCACACTACAGATACACTATGCATCCCAACATACTTTGAACTTTCATGAGCTGTTGAAAACAGACTGCATTTTAATATATGTGGACTATAAATTCTAGTTCAAAAGAAAATAGCTTGAGATTTGAGAAGTGTAATAATACTGCTCCATCATTAGTTAATTGTTACAGAAAGCCACTGATTAGAGATGCTCTTAGATTCAGGCAGCTTTGGGATTTGTTTTTGCTTTTGCTAAACATTATTTAGAGGAAAATGTTCTGGACTATATAATTATAGTTGATAAATCAAAAAGCTCAGTAGCTGTGTTTAGTAATGGGAAATAACTAAGTGTTAAAAGCAAAAAAAACAACAATGTTTGCATAACACAGAAAGGCTATTTTCCATTGCATATGACAGAACTAGTAACAAAAGTTCCGTTTTAAGCTCAATTACACAAGCAAAAATCAAACCTAATTGTACTGTCACATTGTCATCCAGTTATAAAGTCTCCTATTATAAATCTTTAAAGGATAAAATTATCCTTCAGACAAAGAATCTTGGTTTTCTATACGTATGATCCCACCAGAGTTTGACCATATTTCAGCTGCTCCAGTCTCATCCCCCCTTTGTCCATGAGCCTTTTTGTCTGAAAATAACCCCCACCTCCCTTCTCCAAAAGAAAAAAAAGCAGATGGCTCCATCTCTAAATAGAAAGCCAAGGCAACACACAGTAGGTCTGCCACAGATAATAGCAGCATGCTTAATCAAGCAATAACATTAAAGGTTTAACTTGCTCACTTTAAATCATGGTTGAGTTATGTTAGGTAGGTGGTCCAAACGGTCCCTGAAACAGGAGCAGTTGCCTAATCCTAAATCCAGACACAGAAGACATCTTCTCCGAGTCCATGCTTTGACTAGTGGGCACCCTGTATTGTTAAACATTAGATATTTACTTATATTGAGAGGTCTGGAAATCAGTGTTTTGTCTTTTGAAACCAAGAAAACTAGAGCAGCTGAGCTGAAAGTGGGTCATCCATGTTTAGCATGTTTACATAGAAATCTTTGGGTTCAAAGCCTTGTTACATACATGCCAGGAAGGTGGGGACGTTTGAGGTGGCTGATGTAGTTCAAGAGACATTTATACTAAGGTTATGTATTATACAAGAAGCGCTGTAAACAGATTTAAAGGCACTTGATTTGTTGGTGGTTTGAACTCGTAATCATTCCTGAGAGCAGTAAAGGCTTGCTGTGTGTATTGAACTGCTCACCAAGTGTTTTATCTACACTATAAACGCTGGTATTTTTAATTTTTCACCATATAGAGAGTCAGATCAGAGACAGTCACAGATATCAGAAGGATTTCTTTATGTGCGAAGTGTAATAATAGTGCACAGGAGTTGTTTTGGTGATGTGCAAGAAGATTAACCATCATCTTCACTTTTACTGCCTACATTCACAGCATTTCTCGTCCTCAAAGATCGAAAAGAACCACAGAGGGGTTCCTCACTTTGAATAAACCACAGCCAATGAAGCCACTCAAAGAGCTGGGAATACTTAGGGAATAATTCTCCAATTGCTCATGGTTTCTTAGAGGGAAGGGCACACTTCTGGTGTGTGTGACCTATTTTTCCAAACCCCTCTGTCGAATTGCAGCGTTGCAGCTGGTGGTTCAGAGTTCCCTTTTTGTGTTTTTAAAAGTCCCTGTCACTCATGCAAATCAGTGGCACATTTTCCTGGGGCATTTCTCTTGGCTCCTCTGCTTTTGGCAATGGTTTCTCTTTTAAAGAAAAAAATACATCGAACAAACAACATTGCAAACAGGGAGCATAGTTGTATGTCTGGAAAGCCAAGACATTCTTGACAGCACTGAAGTTGTAGTGGTGGTATCTCTCCCAGAGCTCTGGTTCAGGGCTCCCACTAAAAACAGAGCTTTAAGCCCTGAGAGCTGGGAGGGAGAGGGAGGCCCCTGGATGAAGGGGAGGGCAGGGACGCTGGTTAACCACAGAGTGAAGCATGCTGCTCGAGGCTGAGGCCAGGCGGCACGACATCACAAGGAAAGAAAAGGCCCGCCCGCAGAACATCACTGTTTCAGTTCCAATGGCAAGCTTCCCCAGCAGTAAGAGCCTGTGCATATATCCATGAGGAGAGCTTGGCTGACCAAATTACACCCTCAACAGCATGGAAACACAGTCACTGTGTCACTGCTGTGGTTTCACCATCCAGTCAGCAGTTCATCTGCTCGGCAGAGTGTCACTGCCACGGCTCAGATATGTATCAAAGACAGCCTATGTTCCTATTTTTGAGGGTTATAACTTCCAGTGAATCATGTTGTAACTCAAGGATGTCACAACATGCAGTCCCATACATTTAGGGAGTATATATTTCAGTTTCTGCTTTCTAGTGAATTTCTTTGCAGACCTTTTTAAGACAGAAATAAACACGAAAGAAAGTCCTTTTGAGTGGAGGAAAAGCTAGATTGTGTTTATATTAATTATGTTATAAATTCTGCACATAGGAAATAGCACATTAAGTGTATTACTGTTGGAATGCATTGCTTATAATGAAGAAATTAAACATTTTCCAAAAATAAAAAATCTAAGAACCACCAACCTTTACTTTTTCACCACACAGGTTCACTTGGAGAATTCCTAAATGTCACTAGAAAAACAAACACTGTAATTAAACCAGTGTTGGCAGAGCTGTGATCTTGAATTCTTGTCATTTAATTCTACTGCTAGACTTGACTCAGGGACTGTTTTGTGTGCTCTGTGTGTTAATGGTGTTTTTAATGTGACAATAAAGCATCTTTAACATGAGATGATCAAAAAACCTTTTCTTTTATTGCTTTCTAACAAAGAACACTCATTAGTTCAAGAGTTTTCCTTCCTTTTCAAAAGTGACACCACGCTTCCTGTTTACTGTAGCTCCTTCCATCAGGTCGAGTTTTTGTTCTGCAAAATAGGCCTTTCTCTGTTCCTGAGCCGAGGCATCATTGCTGCTGATGACAGCTCTACAAAGGAATCAGGTTTCTCTCGTGGGTTCTCACTGGCATGAAGGATCTGTAGCAGCTATCTGGCGGCATTAGTTTCCTCTCAGGCAGAAATGTTACTCTATTACTCGATCCAAGTGAGGGAGTGCATTAGATTCTCATTAAGTCAGTTTGATCTCACAGTACGTCCAGAGTGTAGACACTTATGAGAGGTCATACACACAGGTCATCTTACTGGCTTGGCAAGGAGCCTCAATGGTCATTCTCACTCTCAGCTAGAGACTTTATGGTTGCTGCCAGTCTGAAGAAGTGTTATGAAATGGCTTAGACAAGTAAAAGAAAAACATCTGATGGTTGTTGTGTACACCAAATTATAAAAAAGATTACAGATGATTCATTTTCTCTATCCACTTTGCTGCTGTAACATTGGAATTTCCCCATTGTGGGACAAATAAAGGAATATCTTATCTTATCTTATCTTATCTTTATCATCCCTGCTTGGCTTGTGTTAGAGGGCTTTGGGAACATGTTGCTCTTTACATATTTCCTGTAAAATATTATTAGCACACAATATGGGTACTGCAAAATCCTATCTTAAATGGTAAGATAGGATGGCATTTGCTGGTCATCATATTAAATCGTTGATTTTTGCGCCTGGAGTATTTTCTTTCCATTTCTGTTTGTTTTAGTGGCTGATACTGGCTGAAATATCCCCTGTAACACCCAGAATCCTGTTGATAATCATCCTCATTACTGTGGCAATGCAGAAACTGAAGTTAGTGTACTGAAGATGGATACCTGAGAAATATGCTCTGTAGGGCAAATAATAATAATGTAATACACAAGCAGTGCTTGACATTTTCGTGACATTTTTGACCAAGACATGTTGTGACAGCAGTGTAAACAGATGACTCATACCATTTTTGTCTGGTGTTTTGATGGACAGAGATCCGTAACCAGCTGGTGGAGCAGTTCAAATGCTTGGAGCAACAGTCTGAGTCTCGTATTCAGCTGCTTCAGGACCTGCAGGAGTTCTTCCGCCGCAAATCAGAGATTCAGCTGGAATACTCCCGCAGCTTAGAGAAACTGTCCGAGAGGTTCTCCTCTAAGATCCGCAGCTCCAGGGAACACCAACAGTTCAAGTGAGTTCCCCTCCCTGCAGAGTGATGATTAATGATATTTCCTATAATTTATGTATATCTACAGTATGCTTTCCAAATGAACATAGAAGAACATTGGAATGCTGACCTCATTCTGTATGATAGATAAATATTGAATGTGCATGATATTTACTAAAATAGAGCACTGTCGTTTACTGTCTTATCTACAATTAAATATGTGATTGATGTTCAATTATATTTTTAGGATAAAAAATAAAGTGTAAGAACTGTAGATTGTTTGTTTAAACACAAAAAAAGGGCAGATAGGTTTGCTGTATTTTTTCATCCCGGAGTAGTGGTTCTCTCAGGGTGCAGGTATAAATTCAATCAATATCAAAGGGCTGGGCAGTAGCCTGAGAGGTGAAAACCCAGGGCAAAATAAAGTCCACTGTTAACCGATAAGCATTGCTCGTTAAGTTGATTACTACTAGAACACTGTAATAACTGAAGCCTGCATATCAGCGTTTTTATCACCTCTCATCTGGATTTCGATGGCTGGACAGTAACAATATATTGTTTAGAGAGATCTAACTGAGGAAATATAACTTAAACTAGGAAACTGGATTTTGAAAAATGAGAGGCAAAGGTCTCCCTCATCCTTGGTGGAAATTATGCCCCTAGTTTGTGCGTTGTTGTTTGAAAGAAGCAGCATTTTCATATTTGCTTTCCTTAATGTTATTTACTTTAACGCAAGTGCTTTTTGTTCAGTTTGAATGTATTTTTTGTAAAGTAAATGCCCCTTTTCTCCTTCAGTATGAACCCAGAGCACAGTATGCCAAGTGACTTTATCCTCCTCTGAACACTATTTATAACCTGACCATAAGACCCAGCCCTATAGTGCCTTCTTTGATTACAGTGCAGAACTAAACAACAAAACACTCCATTATCATTATGCACTGTGAAGGAATATCTATTATTACTGTCAAGATCTTTATGACGTCTTCAAATGTCAGCTGGTTCTGGCATGATGATGGTGATGATGATGAGAATGCAGTTCATTAAAGAAGTTAAAGACGGTTGAGGGGTGGACATAACAAATCCAGTGCACTCGTGACACTGTAATTTAGCACTTAACTCTATGGAAGAATGCTTTGAGCAAAGGTTTATGCTTCATTATACATCCATTATGTACAAATATGGCATACTCTCAACAAGCTCTGCCTCAGACAGAAACCTGTGGGTTGCAGCAGAATCAGCGTGGAGGTTGATATTAAATTAAAAACCATGTAATTATCCAACATAGATTAGTACAGGTACCGCACAGTGTTATTGGTATTGAGTTTTCTACATTGTTGGCTAGATTAACCTCTATAGTAGGACTTTAACTTTAACTTTAAAATGACAGAATAACAGAATTACATTTAAGTTATAATATTGCAATTATAGCGTGAATAATTTCCTTTTTGTTTTGCATGTAATATCTTATTGAAATAAACACTGTTTCGAAGAGAAAGGTTAAGCCGATGGCAGAGTACAAAGGCAGGAGGCATACATTTTAGGCATGAAGGAAACAATGAATAAGGAAGACCACTGAATGTCACCAGATCAAAATCATGCCACCCGTAGCCTTGACCCATTTAGACTTAACACTGAAATGTACGCTGGTAAAAAAAAGAGGGATCGTTTGCACAGAAACCACCACTAACACATTGGTACATGACTCACGCAGGGCATGAAATTAAGCGCTGCCGCTCCCAAAATCAAGCACCTCGGGCGAGCAGACAAGATTAGTTGAGTCTGGAAATGGGACACTAACCCAGCTGTGATCTGGCAGAAGATCTCAGACATAAATCTACACCAACACACGGTGTATGCAGTCTAACCCCAGCCATGATTCTTACAAATGGAAACAGGAGGACTGCATTCTTAACATTTTCATATTTTAAATCTTACTTTCAAGTTGTAATGTGTAACATGAAGAGGCCAGAATACAGAAAATAGATTGACTCCATATACTTTACATATACTATATATACAGTTAATACATTAAATACAATTGATACATTTAATCGCACAGTAATGTTGACTTCTGCACATGCATATATAGTAGTGCAACATTAAAAATACATAGTGTGTGCATACAGTACTTTTCTGCTCTTATTTGGGCAGTTTGGACAATGTAAACTTCCATCAGGTTCACCTTCCCTCTTGGTCAGCCAATATTAGTTATTATTGGATATACCTGCTCTTCCTGCCTTTGTGATTTTATTGGTCACAAATTAACAGTAGACACACAATGTGGGTCAGAAAATCAAAGTACTTTTTCTTCAGTCACATATTCTTCACACAGAATATGATCATGTAGAAGTGTGTGCATACGTACTGAGAGCAGTGTGTGTGAAATGGAGGAGGATTTGATAGGATAATTGAATCCAGCTGTGGTAGAGGAGGCATGATTCACTCTGGCTGATAGTAGACAGAACTGTGCTGTTGCTGCTGAGACACAGTGGCTTAACCTTTGGACTGTACAGTTGGTCTCTCCCACACATCGAGGGACAGGTGTTTGCAAAAACACCTGATCCTCAGACACATGTTCTAATAATATTTCACTTGCACACTGCCAAGATCATGGAGTAAAAGCCTGAAGCCAACAAATGTCTCAGTGCAGCGTCACACACTCACTCATCTCTCACACACACATACACACACACACACACACACACACACACACACACACACACACACACACCTAAATCGACATACGGGTATGACACTTTTTTAAATGCATGTTACTTGCTTTATTTAAACTAAATTAAAAAAAAAAGTGATACAACCTAATAACAAGAGTGACAGACCACAGAGGAAGTGTAGGTGGGAGGCTACTACCTATGCATCTTCCTATAGAGGATGTCATTTTCAATCTTCACTTTTCACACTGAAAGTCTGCTAGTCGACATACAAACCACACAAACTCGTATTAAAATGAAAAGTCTTCATTTTTCCTGCTTAAAGAATATACAGTGTCCATTAAATTCAAACTGGCCACTATCTTCCAAAATGTGTTTATGCTTTTGGTGAAGCCACAAAAAGGCTTATAACATAACCTTGTGCCATGCACTCCTTGCCTGAGCATGCAGGCAACCACCAATCCTGGTAATCAGCTGTGACACGCCCTTTACTGTGTCTTTCCTTCCACTTTAGTGTAGTTAAATTCATGGCCAGCCACCAAAACACCAAATAGGCCTAGGCAAGAAAACACTTGTGTGTGTGTCCAGTAAAAACACTTCGGTGGCATAAAGCCCAACCGTGCACTATCAAAAATAGGGAAAACTGTTCAGTTTTGGACACAAATACGAACCAGGGACCAGGAGACAGAAGTTTAGGTAAGTTATTGTCACAAAAGTTGAAGATGGATCTGAAGGTTTAGCTGGGGGTTTTCTTAGAGTGTAGTGGGGTACTAGGGATCATAGCAGGCAAGAGTGTTGTGGATCTATTGTCCAAACTGGCAGACAGAAGACAAGGACATGGCTGGACATGGCAGGTATTTAGGCACCTGAGACACAGGCAGAGCACAGGATTAGAAGAAAAGATCAGGAGAGCACAAAAAACAAACTAGCAAGGATGAGTACTGAGCTGTTATGTCTGTACGACTGTGGAGACGGTCTGGTGAAGTCTAGGTTTAGTACTGCACAGGCTTGTAGAGTCGATTAACTGATCAGCTGCAGGTAGAACGACAGGAGAGAGGGACCACGCCCAGCAGACGCACATGGGAGAGGCACGGCTGACACCCTAACAAAACATTTTATACCCTTAAGCCTCTTTATTTTGTATACACAATTAGCTGCTTTTGGTTTTGTCTGTGTTCCCGACACCCTTCAGCATGCATGTATCTTTCAGTAAATGTATTTATTTTTTTTTTTAAAGTGTGCTCTGTAAACTCTGCATCATACTGCAGAGGACTACTTCAGAAGCAGCCTTGTATCTTGTGCCTAGTTATACCTTTATATTTTTGATCAAAACAGAGCAGTAAAATTGAGTCATATTGACCTGGACGGACTTCCATATGTGCTGGATCACAGCCTACAGTCTGTTGGCTGAACCCTTCCAGTGCAGATTCATTAGCAAGCTGAATGCCACTGTGATTTACAGCTACTGCAGCTACAGCTACACCGCAGCAACCCGACCAACGATAATTTTGCTCTTCTACTTTACCTCATTTGCCACAGTGAAAAGACACACTCAAGGGTTACTTAGCTGCTTCATACTGGAGTTGCTTTGCCAGATAGTGCACCACTTCCTTTTTTTCTTACCGGTTCACAGTTCCTGAGAGACAATGGCTAACTTGATTTTAATTATGGACCAGACGTTTCAGGGTATATCATGAATGGGATATTAAATGTAGCTCATCAAATTAGAGACAATCGGTATCGTCTGCCTGTCATACAGACAGATATAACATAGCACCATTAGAAAGGCAACTCATGCAATATTGATATAGAAAATAACCTGTCTGGGAAAGATAAGACAGGGCTTGTAGTGGTGTCCAAATTGGTGTGTGTGTGTGTGTGTGTGTGTGTGTGTGTGTGTGGGTTAATCTCTTTGTGTGTATCCAAGCGATTGGTTTGGGAGGAGCTGGGGGAGAAAAGTGTTTGGTATCTTTACAGCACCAGATCTTTGTGGAGTATATTTGAGTTATTTTAGTTTGTTCTAGCTCATTTCCAAGTGATGTCTCTGTTGATTTCATGGTCAGCAAGGCACAGCTTTGAAAATGTATCAATGGATATTCCAGCATGTGTAGTGTAGCCAGAACACGTCGATCTTTAAAAAGCCCCTATGAAACAGTGTGATGCAATGCTTTAGTTATGATATAATTATGAAGAATGATGTCTGCTGCTGTAGGATAGTACCAGATGCTTTTTAGGCTTTGCGCACTGGCATTAAACGACAGCTAGCTGTAGTCTCATTTTGTGTAGCTATGTTGTTGAGCCATAGCTGGGTAAGGGTAAAAGGTTAAACCGTATCCGTCCAGGCTTGAATTGTTTGAACACAGCAGTCAAACCCCTGCTCTTGTCAGGTTGACAAGTCAAGCTGGTGGAAGTCAGCATGTACAACATCAATAGATTAGCTGGTTTGCAGTTTGTTTTTCAGATCTTGTCAAACCCTTGCCTCCTCTTCATTGACGCTGCACTGTGCTCTGCTCCGGTCCGGCCCCTGTGTCTGTGCAGCTGTGCATTATCAAATGTTGGCACTGTCCTCTCAAAAAAAAAAAGACCCTGCTACATGATGTGCAAATCAGCAATGTAGCATTTTGAAGCCCTGCTTGAAAACGGGGGCAAAGAAAATTTGAATGGCAAAGCTGGCGGCATGTGCCCACGTGCCCCTTGTCTTTTGAAACTGTGTTTGGCTCTGTCTCCTTTTCCTTGGCTGTTTCATTGATAAGCAGCAGGCAGGCAGTGTGGAGGGGATTAAAGGCCTTCACAGAGCCGAGTCCTGGTTTGATAAATACACACTTCCTTCTGGAAATCCTGGCTCAGACACATCATAGGCTCTGGGTGATTAGATGGTGGCATCCAGTGCAGCCGTGACTAAAGCACATGCACTGTTCTACACAATGCTTACTTCTTCGGTGTATGGATGTTATGGTGACAGCTTGCCATCAGTTTATCCTTGAATCAAAGGATTATTGCAATATTCTATACTCTTTGTTTCTTTATTCACTTCCACTGTCTCTGTGTCTGATCTTCTTCACGCTCTCCCATGCATTCACAGATTATACTGCATGTATGTATCTGCCTCACAGGGGCAGTGAGGCAATGCAGACCTTGTAAAAAAAACATGGAGACAGCCAGGCAGTGCTTTGCAGAATGAGACAGATGTAATAGGATGCCAGAAAGCTGCACTTGTCTCTCCTCCTCCTCTTCCTTCTCAGTTCTCTAGAGACTCTCAGAGCTCATCGTTTGCCTTCTGCATGTTAATGATATCCTGTGTATAAATACCGAGGGCATGGAGCCATCCAAAGCCAACCTATTCAAAGCCCCTTTAGATTAATTGACCCACAGGCTCTCGACTGATACTCAGCCTTTTTACGGGAAATCAGCGAGCAGAAGTAGGTACGGCGTAGAGATGGGAGAATGAGTTTTGCTGCATGCTGAAGTCGAACCTTTGTGATAGATAGGCCTGTATAAGAGCCGGTATAGAAAGGGTAGTGCCTCTGTCCCATAAAACAAGTCAAGGAGCTACATTTATTACTGTGTTAAAATACTCAGCTCCCAGAGATGCAGCTGGCACAGGCCTAATTATCGACCTTCTGCTCCTAATTCCTGTGAAATGAGGACAGCGACTAGGGGAAAAGAGATCTTGTGTCCTTTGTCTGTTTCTCTCTTCAAGGCTTTAACCCTGAACATTAAGAACATATACCTGGTCACTTCCACACCTTCCTATTCATTCATTTACAGATTTTTTTGACCAAATAATAATAGTTTTTCTGTCAAAATTTCTTTTCAAATTCAGTAGTTGATGAGAATAGTTAGTGAGACCTCTGTTGATAAGTGTCTGTAATTAAATGGATTGTCATGCAAGTTTGTACAGACAGTCATGGATTGAAACCTACTGACTTTGACTTTTTCATTAAGCAACACCAGCAGCTCAACTGGTCGACTGAAAGATCTCCATATCTACTTGATGGATTTCCAAACTTTTGTACAGATAGGTAAACGTGATGAGGATGCATTTTAATAATGTTGGTGATACTCTGGGTCATGTAGTGCTATCATCAGTTCTAAATCTTAATTTGCCCAATAGCCTACTAATGATGTTCCCATCATCCTTAGCTTTTTTTGTATTTAGTGCTAATTAGCAAGTTAGCATGCAAACATGTCAAACTAAAAACATGATAAACCTTATACCTGCTAAACGTCAGCATGTTGGCATTGTTATTGTGAACATGTTAGCATGCTGACATTAGCATTTAGCTCAGGCACTACCATGCCTATAGACATATATTCTTGCAGAGCAAAAATACCTTTAAGTCTAATAAATTCCTTAATTGTCGGTTAAATTCTAATATTATTGGTGTGTCATGAAAAGTAAATAACCAGGTAATCAAATGAAACATCTAATGTAAAAGGAAAAAGTGACTCAAGCTGCAGATTTAGCAACAATATTATATTGGGGACGACAGATCCACAAGCACTTTAGCCATCAAAAAGGCAAAAAGGCCAGGATTTGGGCGCCCACATAGCTCAGTGGGTAGAGCTGGCGACCCATGTAGTGAGGCTGAGTCCTTTCTGCAGCGGCCCAGGGTTCAAATCCAACCTGCGGCTCTCTGATGCATGTCATCCCCTCTCTCTCTGCCCCCCCTGTCTATCTTCAGCTGTCACTGTAATAAAGGCAATAAAAGTCCAAAAAATATACTTTAACCTGATTTACCTGTAGTGCACAGAGACCAGTGTTTTAGGGGGAAAGCTGAGGGACTTAAAAAGGGACTAAAATGCAAGGTTGGTTGTGCTGAGGGGTGCGATGAAGCATCTCTGACCACTTTTAGGGATTAGCAGAGAGTAGAGGTGCTTGTTCCCTAAACCTCTCAACCAAAAACAGCAATTATACACCAAGGAGTTGCATCCCTTACAGGCAGATAGGTCAGTCAAGCGGAACTGGCACAAAATTAGGTGAGACAGTAGAAATAGGCCATCCCAGTGGAGTGAAGGATAATATGGTCCACATTAGGTCCTCTATTGTTAGTAAAACCTAAAATCCTACCCAATGTCTACAAAGTCTGTCAGTCAGGTCATTTTGATACGGCAAATTAATGTCCAGTTTAATCAGTTTTTATTATTACTTTTTGATTGCGAGAGTGAAATGTGGAGTGGACTGATGACTGGATTTTCTCAGCTCTTTCAAATTACCATTACATTTCTGTAATCGCGAATTAATTGACTCCCCTTTCAGACGTAGTGCATCGCAGGACACCATTCTCAATCTAACAGTGAAGAAGCAGGCCCAGTAATAGATGGATGAAGTTTACTACACATGCCATTTTGTTTTCTGATGGTATGAGAACTAGCACAAGAATGTGCTGGTGTCCTGTCAGCGTGATGTAAGTGTGTTCAGGGCCAGAGTTAAGTAAAGGAATAATGGGGAAAGCACTCTGTGTAGCTAGATATCAACTTCATTAGATGTGATTAGCATTATGGAAGCTCTCTGAAGGGGGGCTCTTTGATGTTGGTGCTGCTCATCCCTTTTTTCTGCTCCACAGTGAAACCTTATCCCCCACCCTGCTCTGGCTCTCTCCCTCCTTTGCTCTCATTTCCCTCTCTCTCTCTTTGTCTCTTCCTCGGGGTTGGTTGATTGATTAATACTCCGATAGGATCCAGACAAGGGTATGGGTTTGAAGGGATTGCGTCTGTGTGCCTGCGTCCGGTTCAATGTCTATGTGGTTGTGCCTTGGTGGTTCTATTTGAAAGCACCTGAGGCGGTTTTATGGTTTAAACTGATTATGCAGCAATCAGGGTCCATGACTCTCTGGATCATTATGGTCACCAGTATTGTGCATTTAACAAGTTGATGCCTCACTAGACCTTAGCATTGTTTGGAGTGTGATGGAAGAGAGAATGGAAATGATGGCGTAAGGGAGGAAGACATTCAGAAAGAAGCAAACATTGTATTGTATTGTATTTATTTTTATTTCACAACGGTTGTCTTGTCTTAGCAGATCATATCTTTAGTTATATTGTTTACTGTAACAATAACTTCAAATGCTTTCATCTTTAATTTGTTCAATATCCATCTAGTTATTAGAATAGATAAAAATTCTGAATATTTTTTTAGCGTTGCTCTTGGGATGGCAATTTATTTGATGTATTGCCATGCAAGTTTGTGCAGACATTTGTGATCCCCAGAGGACATGATCATGACCACTGTGAACTGGACATTTGTGCTTTTCTGTACAGCTATTTGGTAAATACACATAGAATTTGGTACAGATATTCATGTCCCCTCAAGGGTGTAATAACTCTGTTGATCCCTTCATTTTTTTATCCGACGCCGTCATCTGGTTAAAATTTGACTTTGTCCAATACTCTGGTTTATGACCAAATAGCTTCAAAACTTGTGACATTCCTACCAGCCTCAGATCTACTTTATGTTAAGTGCTAATCAGGTAATAAGCATAAACAAAAATTTTATCTGACAAACATTAGCGCACTACCTTTGTGATTGTGAGCATGGTCGCATTTTGACACAAGCATTTAGCTAAAAGCGCCAGTAGCCACTCACAGTTGTTATTCCTAATGTATTTAATGACCATAAAAATACATTACCAGCTATCCATATTATCCTGGCTAATAATCCTATACCCCTCTATTTTTTTCAGGAAGGACCAGCACCTGCTGTCCTCAGTAAACTGCTGGTACCTGGTGCTGAACCAGACGAGGCGAGAGAGCCGTGACCATGCCACCCTCAGCGACATCTACACCAACAATGTCATCCTTCGCTTGGCCCAGATCAGCGAGGACGTCATCCGCCTGTTCAAGAAGGTCAGTGAGACTATCACCCTCCCCTTTTTACTACTACTCTCTCATCACCAGTGCACAAAATATCCAGTCCAGGAGTCCAAAACACAATAACCAAGCAATTAGCTTTAAGCTTTTATTTGCTGAGTTCATTCTTGTGCCTCCATGTTACTACAAAGTTGAACTAGCAAGTTACAATTCGCAGCAGCTGAAATTAGTTCAGTTTGGCCGTAGCATTCAGACTGATGGTAGCCGAAACAAACGTGGTGCTTTCACTCAGCATACATGGAGTTTATAGAAGGTGTAGAAGTTCTGTCAAAATATGGGAATGGGAAAAGTGAAGCTGAGACCCCCTGGCCCAAGACTGGTCCAACACCCTGCAGGCCCGACTAGTGTGAGCAACGTTTGGCGCGCTGTCAGCACATAGCAGAGATGATTGAGGTCTTATCCAAACATTGGAACCGTGTTTTCACCTTGCAGGCCTTCCTGTAGGTGAGCTACACTCTACTTACTAGGCTCCATTCACATATGACTCTGTACGTGTGTGTGGATGCTTGTGTTTGTCAGAAAATGTGCCAAAGCTGAAAAGGGAGAAACATTCCATCCTTTTTAAGTCAGGTGCCCTCAGGAAGCGTTTTCTATATTTGAAGGAATGAATGGATGGCTCTGCTGCTGCTTGCTGGCAGACATATTGGGAGGTATAAATAATGTATCAAAAATGTCATGGAGCACTGGAGAAAATTAAAACTGAAATGAATGAAAGAGCTTTGGATGATTGACTGTCGGACATGACAAGGTGATCAAGGACAAAAAGTACAGCTGTTGACAAAAACTTCATCAAGGGCTTGTCTAACATAAAAAACGACCAAAACTGTGACTTATAGTGGGAATATTGGTGATAGATTGTAATTTATATACTATATATATATATATATATGTTTATATACATATATAAATCATCGGTTTTCTGTCATTGCTTACATAAAATATCTGTTTTATCATCTTAAAAAATGTTTTCAGTGATGCTATTACTGTTCATTTATTTATTGATTGATTAATAGTTTTTCTCTTGGTTGTGTCTAGTCTAAGGTTGTCATAATTTTCTGTGTTATTTAGTTGTAGTATATTTTTTTTATGTCTGAGAATAACAACAAGGAAAGCTGTCAAATAATGCAATTACAGCAGAAGTGGCAAAAGTGAATGAACAGAAGGCAGTTTCCCTGCTGTCTGCTCAATACTCCGTGACTCTCTGTATAAATTAATTGCAAAGAGAATAAATTAATAAACTACATCGGATGCAACTGTGCTACTTTTTGCCTTTCATAAAGGGAAGATTTTCCGAATGTATAGTCACAAGCGTTACTATAAGGGCTGTTACAATATGACCTGCCACAGATCTTACATTGTGTTGCATCACAGTTGTTCACTCGCTGGTTGAACCCTCCCTGCTCCCCCTGAGCCTCTGCAGTACATGCTGCAGTCTGTCTCACTTCAGAGCCACTGATGCATACAGATGCCATTCACCAGCTGCTGGAGCCCTCTGAGGATTTTCCCCATTTATCACGTTCTGTCCGACGCTTGCTTGAGTAGGACTCAATGCCTGCACTCCAGATAAAAACAAAGTTAAAACAATATATCCCGTCTATTTTACTATGGTTATTTTTGTTTTTATCTCCTCTGGGTACATTTCATAATCTAGTTTAGTGCGCTGTTGGAGCAAGATGTTTTTGTGTTTTTTTCCCTCTCTGATGATTAGTTGTGTCTCTGACTCACCAGTAGCAAGTTTTTTCAAGCACAGTTATTATAGCCGAGCAGGGTGTGGACAAAAATGTTAACTTTCATCTGTCTATGAATCCTTCTGAACGGGTGGTTAGGAATGGTTTTATTTGGGATGTGTGTGTGTGGGGGGGGTGTGGGTGTGTTCATAAAAGAAGTGCATGAGTACCTGCCCTGTCTCTGTTCCGTTAGTCATTGTCTATACTGTGAAAGGTGCAGTGGGGTTTTCTTTCAGCACAGCAGCTCCTCCTTGTTATATTGATCTTTCAGAAAATGATACGTCTCATAATGATTCATATGTGCGATGGCTATTATGCGTCTTGCTGAGTCACTGTGTTGCAACAGAATTAATGAGTCAGTTGTTGACACTGTTGAAAGAAGTGCCTAATATTAGTTAGAGAGCACAGGGGGTGTACAGAAAATGTTCTGCTATTTTAGATATTATTACCATATTTGACAGGAAACCACATGCTGAGCACCTTTTGCAGCATTGTAGACATCGACTATTGTTAGCCGCAAACCAACAGCCCACCTGTCTAACCTAATTAACTGTATGGTCAATCTCCAAATTTAATTTTTTGACTCACCAACATGGCCTTTATTTTATTGACCTTTTCACTTTTCACAGTTGTTCCTCTTAAAGGAATAGTGTGTAGGATTCAGTGGAATCTAGTGGTGAAGCTGCAGACTGCATCCATTTGAATACAGCTAACCTAGCTAACCTTCTAAGCGTGCAGGAAAAACAACAGTGGCGGTTCAAAATGGCGGACTCCGTAGAAGAGGACCCACTCTCTCTGTAGATAAAAATGGCATCAACACAAAAAACACAACTATTTCTCTCTCTCTATAAATATATATAATAAAAACATACTTATGAACATTACGTTCAATTTCTGCCAATAGATCCTACATAATTTTACACACTGGACTTTTAAAAGTTGACTGGCAAGGTGTATCTGTTTTGATGTTTTAGTCTCATTTTTATTCCCTATAAGTCAGCTTTCATGTTTTCTACTATAGTGTTTCACATTACTTACTCTCGTTCCTCACAGCAGCCAGGCTTTGTGAAAGTTTGTTGTATGTAGCCATGTACTTTTCTTGCTATTACCTGCACAGCAATAATAACCAACAGTTACAGGGGTGGCTCTGTGGTGGCCTGTTCTTTCAAACTTAGATAGCTCAATTTATTGACTAACACATGGAAAAACCCAAATCACAATGCCACAGTTGCAGATACTGTTTTATTTTTCTCTTTTAGCAAACCAGAAACAAGGCAACATTGCTGGCCTCCTCTACCGGTTAAAGCAAACTCTCCCCCGCCTCTTCCTTCTACAGCATGTGGTTGTCATCATCTACATGAACTACATTAGATCCAAAAATGTACACAAATAAGATTGTTATTATTTGATAAATCATAGAAAATGTAACTTTCATTTTGGTAATGTGGCATATTGTGAAAACATTGTGACCAATACAAAAACTGGCTCTAACGTGTGTTCTCAGCTTTGATGACAGAAGAAAAAAAATGCCAAACATCAGAATATGGGATTAGATGGTGGAATTAAACCAAGCTGCTGCAGCTGGCAGGAGAACACTTGGTTATATGGCCGACATTACAGACATTGCATCTACAGTATGTCTAAATACACGAGGCTACAAATTGGCAAATGGAAAAGTCTGAATTAAAATATTAATGTAGTTTAGAACCAAGTGTAGTGAAATTAGCAGGGAGACAGTTTTTTGTTTGTGAGTGAACTGAAGTTCTTTTTTGTATCACTCTTTCTCAAACACAACATCTTTCTATAACTTTCCGACAGAAGAATTTTGGTTTCTGTTTATTTTTTTCAATGTGTTTTTCAAACTGAAGCTGTTGGTGTATTTTCTCACCTTGAATGCTTTAAATAAAGGCTTTATGCTTCTCTCCCACACAAACAGATGTTATTACATTCACTCTGTCAGTTCTTCTTCTTCCAGTCCAGGTGTGTCCCCTGTTTTTGATCACAAGCTGTGCAGTGTGACTCGAAAAAGTCGAGGTGGATGTGCATTAAAAGCTGTGAGAGAGATTTGACTGTGCAGCTGCAGGAGGTGTTCACTGTATCTCTGACAGTTTCTTAAGTGAGATCCCCAACAAAACAAATTAGAGAGAAATGGTGGCTTGAGCAATATTTTCACTGTTAAAATAAAGATATGAACCTGGAAACAGGACTTGTTGTTCCTCTTGAGATATTATTGATTTTTATCATGTCTGCAGAGCACATTGAAACATCAATAGACAGTGTTTTTTCTTGTCAGAGGATGTCACACATTGTCTTGACGCACTTCACACACACTCACTCATACACACACAGAGAGAGGTAACAGAAGACAAACATGCAACTTTTCAAAAGCCTAAATAAGAAGTGCAATGTAACGTGCAATAATCGCAGGAAACTAAATGTGAATGTGGCATCACTCACTGTTACATGTCTTAAAATCAACTGCTATTGCAATTGAAGGCCTAAGGGGACCAGGTTTATCCACTGGTAAGCATTAAAGGATCAGTCAATGCTTTTAAAGACATCTTTCCATGAATTTAAGTGTGGGAAGTTCTGAGTTGTTGGTGAAAAGTCATCAGGATGCATCCTCTGATTTCCTTAAATATCTATACCAATTTCTGTGCCAATCCATCCAGTAGTTGTCGAGATATTTCTCGGTGACTCACCAAAGTCATAGTGTCAGCATAACCAACTGAGTTTGTTCCAGCAGGTCACAGCTGAAGGCTCAAACATTATTTGTTTTCTCACCTCGGTTCTTTCTGCTCGCTATGTTTCAGAGCAAGGACATTGGGATCCAGATGCACGAGGAGCTGGTGAAGGTGACAAATGAACTTTACACTGTAAGTAATATACCATATTTCCTACAGATCGATCCCTCACACCATATCTCATCACTGAACTCATCCAGTTCTTTTTCCTCTCTCTGTCTTTCTGACATTTTATTTCATGTCCTTTCTTTTTTGTTGTTGTTTTATCACCTTTCTTTGTTCAATCTACAGTACAAAATACATGTGCTTTCTTTTCTTAAGTTCTATTGGGAAATTGTATTAGTCTTTAAAAGTGTCTACTAAAAATGTTTCACTTTGCCCAAGTGTACACACCAAGTTAAGCAAATACTAGTCCCACTGTTGTGACCATGTTGGCTGTGTTGAGAACTGGAAACCCCAGCAGGGCTGGAGTTAATTTGATTATGTCCTTATTATAGCATGATTGCCATTAGCCCACCTATGTCTATTATATACTCAGCTACCAGTTCATTATATACAGCTAGCTTAATCTAATGCACAGCCATGATATACCTTCTTGAAAGTTATAATGTTCAGCTTTTGTCGAAAGATGAAAGAGGTGTTGATTCAAGTTCATGGTCATTTTGGAGGATGTAATTTGGGGTGCTCTTGAATTGAATTACATTATGGTGTTTCTATTATTTATTCTCTCATTGATTTAAATGGATGGACATAATATAAGAAACCTCTCAGTTCGATGCAAGATGACTGCACCACAAACTGCAGCTTCAACACTTCAAAAACTGAACATTGTAAGCTTCACAGAGGACTGTTTATTGTAGTGCTGTTGTATTATACATGTATATATTATTAGTTTTGGTTAGGTGTAGATTAAAGGATGGTGAATTTGCCTTCCAAAAAGCTCACGATAATGTGCTACAGAATCTGAATCAGAAATACTTTATTGATCAGTAAATACATAAAGTAATAAACAATTGATGTTTGATTTGGTTTGGTCAAATTGGAAAAATATTCAGGGTGTATTTTTAAATGGTCAGATTATTGATTCATTACTCAATCATTTGTTTTATTTATTACATACCTTCCTAGTACAAATGGGATTACGATGATTGATGACAACAAGTCAGAGGAAGAGTGGGGCAGTTGTAAATGACGAAGTGGAACACTACATTTCTCTCCAAGTCGGACAGTTTCTGGGCTCAAAGCACTTTCACATCTGGTGGCTCCTTCAGCACTGGTCTTGCTCAGGGGTCACATCACCGGTTGTCTCAGTGGAAACCTGCAACACATGACTGTATCATTCGTTAGAGAGGTAGAAAGCTTTTGAGGAGAATCAGTGAGTAGATTACATAATGTGTGTCTTGTGTTCATAACAATGGACACACCTGTTCCAGCTCAGTTGCTTTGTTGTATCTGCTGCCACCAATTTGCTTTGCAGTACTACTGGTACAATATGTTCTCTCTACCTTTGTTGTTGTGTTGTAATGGTCTTCTGCTTCATTTTGATTTGTCTGTTGAGAAAAAGGTAGTCACCATCACTCACTTTATATATTTCTTTTTTTTTTTCTCAGCTTTTGCCAGCCCTAAATATCATTTTTTTGTTCTCTTTTTTTTCTTTTAACGATCAGCTCTCAGGCATCCTGCAGCTGCTGCCCATATGTTTTAATATGAAAAAAGGTGCTTAATGGATGTATGTTTCCTCACATAGCCAATATGTTTGGTTTTAGCCCAGAAAATCACACAGAATTAATATTTTATTCTATTTATGAATTCTATTTGGATTTAACTGTCAACTGAGTTTTTACAGTCAAAAATCAGTATAACATAATTAAAGTGAAGTATTAATAGAGGCAGCACGTCTCCCAAGCCCACATTTTCTCAGTTGTATTTTCAAATGGGCTGTGAGTATATCAGACTGTGTTATTATAACACTGGCAGATAACATGAGCAATAATGTTGCACAAGTTATGATAAATGTTTCTAATTAACATTGTTGTATCTGCGGGTGATTTTTCCTTTTTCCTTTTGTCTTCACTATTTGTTGTATTGTATTTGTTCTACAATGGTCAAAACTGGAAGAACTGAATTGTTATTAGTATGATTTTCTGCAGCAAACCCTGCAGGTAGATGAGCGTATGTCAGGGATAAGGACATGCTGTATTGGTGCCGCACTGTTACAGAGACGGGTTCTTATTGAGGGAGGCTTAGTGCCCAAAACTGGACGAGCTCCAGGCAACTTCAGCAATCTTATGCCCCCTGAGGTGAAACAGAAGAGATGGCAGAGCTTCCTTATATGACTTATTCATCTGTGCAATGTGATGAGAGTCAAACTACCAAAGGGCAGAGCTGGCAGCTCTCCCTGATCCTGCCATCTGTACATTTGGATGCTGAAACAGGCTAGTGTTATGGGGAGCATGTGATAATCAAAAGTGCATACATCTTAATTACTGGAATATGCATTTTAAAATGTCTGTTTTTGATCAAACACCTTCAAAAACTGACCATGGCTGCGATACTTTACATTTTATTACTTTATGTTAATAACTGACAACACAATTATTGTTCCTCTTCAAAAGGTTATGCCTGCCGGCCATTTCCAGTTTCTGGTGTCAGGTTGTGTTTCAGGTTCACTGTAAAGTTCAGAAACACTTGGAAAAAGATCATTATTCTATACATTAATATGGTTTTACGATATATCTGTTCCACCCATTCTCCCCTCTCGATGCTGCATAATAAAGCTCAGATGGTCCCTCTCCTCATGCTCTACTTGGCCTCAGCTGCAGTCTGGCTGAAAATGAAAAATCCAAATGTTGACGCAGAGCCTCATTCTTTCTAAATATGAGAAGAGGATTGTGGGAGTTGTGTGAAACTTCACAGCTAAGGTGGAAAATGTATTGCTGCCACACACAAATATCCCTTCCTTTAAAATTAATGATTTCATGCTAGTCAATAAAGCACTTTCACACTTAATAATTGTTTTCTCACCTTATCCATCGCATGGCGACCATGCTTTTGTGTCAGTCAATCTCAGTGAAGGGTTGGCACATTCATTGTCCTCATAATGTTGCTATCATGAAGCTCTTTGGGACCAACTGTCATTAATGACTGTACAAATGAAGCTGACGTGGCATCATTTATATGAAAGGACTTTCCCAGATACCATCATAACCTATATGGGAAGGTCTGACAGTGCACTGACTGAAAGTTTTATCCTTCTGCAGGGAGTAACACTGTCTGCTGGAGGAAAACAAAGTTTTGTTTTTCATGACTGCACCCTTGTTAGTATTTAATTGTACAGAAATAGCTAAATCAATAGTGTGGCCACATGGTGATTGCCTTGTGGTATTTTCTAACAGTTTTCACTGGCTGCCAACAAAACAAATTTTGCTGAAAGAAAACTGTGAAATCCCATTTGGGTCCCTGGCTGCTCAGTGAGAGGTAAGGGAGAGATGTAAGACTGTGGGCTGAAGCTATTGTTCAAATATTGTTGAAAGTATGACGCTGCAGCAGGAATATTAGCAAGAGCGAGGATCCTGTTGCCTGTGGCTCGTCGTTGATACCAAACCTGAAATGAGAACTGGGAACAAAAAGCCAGAATGTATGAAGAGTCAGCAACGTATCTCTGTGAAATTCCATTTTCTTTGATTGAACCTGTTTTAATTTCCTGCTACCCCGACTTAATATCCCCACTGGGATCAATAAAGCTTCAGCTTATCTTATCTTTCTGATCCACCACCTTATGTCTGATGTCTGCTCTTTAGTCTCATACACGATTATTCTTTTGTTAACAGCAACACTGAAAATCTCTCTCTGAGGCTTGGGTGCTGGAGTAGCTTTCATTCATTCATGTATCCACTCGTAGTTCATTCATTCATTATTTTTATATTTTTTTATATATTTTTATTTAACAACATTTATTTTTTGCATGTTAATGCTGCAAAATAAATATCAAAATATTAAAGCTGCTGGATGTTTGGGAAAAAAACTGCATGATTTGTCTTTTTTAACCTCCTCAAAAATATCCATAATATCATTTGGCCTATTTAAATGTTGTATCAGGACCCTCTTGAAAGCAAGTTGTTGCATTCACTGGACTTATGTTTTAGTTAAACCTTTGCCCCACTTATATTTTACCATGATATTGCTACAATCCCTGTTTGACTTAGAATGTGGAAGATTTTAGAGATAATATTTAGATTTATGTTGAAAGGAAGTATCTACTTCTGGTCCTGCATTCATTATGAAAAACTCCAGCCCTCCTCTCAGTGTTGGGCTTCTTTCACCAGCTCAGAGACTCTGCTCAGGAGTTAAATAGCTCGAGGCTGTCATCAGAGGACTCAACTATACACACACCTCCTGCAGACACAGCTGAAGCTTAGTCTTCCTGCAAATTACTTTGTGTCTTTAGCTGGAGGTCCTGTAGTCAGATGGTTCAAAGTTGGCTGGAAATCTAGCACGTTTTCAGTAGAATTTGAAAGAAACTGTTTGACAGCCTGGGGAGGAACAGAGTGTTAGCCTAGTTTCTCTCCTCTTGGAGCAGCTACATCGATGTTGAGCTTTGTCACTCTGAGAATAGACTAGTAGCTTTTATTTGGTGTATTTATTTAACTCTCAGGTGTTTGCCTTACAGCTCTCTGTCACTCTGTTGTTCTTGTTGTTGTCTGAGACTGCCTGGAGAGGAGTAGTATTTATTCCAACACAGAGGTGAGAATAAATAGAGGCTTCAAGTGGCAGCACTGCATAACATTACTATCAGGGTTGGAGGTCAGTGAAAGATTATAGTCGCGAGTGACCCAACGGCAAACATGTGATGTTGATGAGAGGCTCTCGTGGAGATGAAAGGAACCCTACTCCTTAAGTTCGGCACCAAGTCAGCAGTACTTACTTGATCACAGGAAGCAAATAAATTACTGTTTATGTTGACTGTTAAACATCCCGAGGTGTTCATAGAAAAGTCTGAATGCTTGAGACATTTGAAGACGCAGCTCACATCTGGACGTTCCTTTACGAGGCTTAAAAATGGGCTTCCAAGAGGAGAGACTCTCTCAATGAGCACATGGGATGAGTTAAGACAGATTGAGGATGCTTCTGTCTTGTCTAACGAGGGTTTTCTGTCACTACAGTCTTGTCATCACCATGTTAGAGTGGGGTGTGTGGGGTGTGCGGGTGTCTAAGAAGAGATCAAAGTGAAGAGGTAACTGCAGAGAACACAGAAAACAATGGTGTCACTCTGCTGCACAAAAGAGCTGAAAACGAACAAGCCTGGGGTGATGAAGAGTTACTGTGGAAATGATGTAGAGGCCAGGAAAGCCACAGTGAGGAGGGGATGAGGGGGTGAGATTTGACAGCCAAGACTAAACCACGTACAACCCTGGGCCCCTGGATTCATTTAAAATATTCCACATGTAGTGACATCTGTGTTACTGCTGTATTGACGCCCAAATTGATCCACCAGGCCACCATGAAAAAGCTAAAATAAAACCAGATTTTGGAAGGAAATGACACTGAGGACTATGAAAGATGTGATCTTTCCTGTTTATTTCCTTATTGTTGATACATCTGGGTTAGCATATTGTAGTGTCAACACTATAGTACTGCTATTGCAAGTCAATGTACAGGTATGAGTAGTTGTATGAATGGGTACATGAGCACAAATGCACAAAATTGTCTTTGTGGTTTGCCTTTTTTCGCCTTTGGCCGAAAAAAGAAGCTTGTTAAACCGTCTATATGGCAATATTGGAGAAATAATCCCCTCTCAAGTTGATCCATCTTTAAAAACAGCCTCTTTTAAAGTTTCTGTGAGTGGACTGAACTGAATCCAGCCTTGTTTACTTGTCTTTTTACAATTCCCAGCAGTGGCCACTGCTACATATTTATAGCTGTTGATAAAAACACTAATGATGCCTTTCTACTGTAAGTTTCAATACTCCCTGCATTAGTGCAGAAAGTATGAGTCTAGTCACTATTAATATTTTATATTTGACTGCAACAATAAATATTTATTATTGATTAATCTGATGAATCATTTAGTCTATAATATGTTAATAAACTGTAAAAAAAACAGCCGTTCACAGTTTGATGACGTCTTCATTTTGCTTGTTTTCTCTAGCTAACAATCCAAATGCAAAAGATATTCAATTTACTGTCATATATGACAAAGATAAGCAGCAAATCTGAACATTTGAGAGGCTGTGACCAGATAATATTTGGTATTTTTTCTTGAAAAACAATTAATCAACTTATTGTAGCAGCTCAAATTTTTATATAATGCATTGATTTAAGCCGTGGCTACTGAATGTACTGTTGATAAAACCAAGGTATCCTCTTTGTCACTTGTTGAATATCTGTCATGCTTCTCCTACAGGTGATGAAAACATACCACATGTACCACACTGAGAGCATCAGCGCAGAGAGCAAGCTGAAGGATGCTGAAAAGCAGGAGGAGAAGCAGTTCAGTAAGTCCGGAGATCTCAACGTTAACCTCCTACGCCACGAGGACCGCCAACCGAGACGTGGCTTTGTCAGGAAAATTGAGAAGATGAAAGAGAAAGTGAGTATGCTCAAGGATGGATAGTGTTGTGGTTGTTTACACGTGTAGTGTCATTCAGTTTCAGTTGGGTATTTAGGCTAGCTTAGACATTTACAGCTGTTACAACCTCTGTTTTTATAATAACAATGTGCCATGTAAGAGGGGTCTAACTAGTGACAAACACACAAACAATTATTAAAATCTGCAGGTCCTGTCAGCTGTACAGAGCTTTATAGCTTCTTTTAGCTATTAATATAAACTTAATACAAACAGCAATAAACGTCAAACAGATAAAGTTAGTGACTAGCTGGTGAACATAGCAGCACCTTCAGCAGCTGGAGTCAGATATTTCCCTCAGGAGATAGTATAGACCAAGAACAGAGCTTAAAGGGGAGCGAATATTGGACTTGCATTCAGCAGGTGGTCAGAAATTGGACTCTAAATGAATGCTAATGTTGCTCCATGTCTACTGGATATGTAAAGTATGCCAACAAGTTGACAGCTGGTTTCCATCGCCCCAAGTGAACAAAAATCAGTTATTGCAGGTTAAGCAGCTTCTCCTCAAAGCTGAATGAGGAGGTTAGATGAGTCTAGTTCTGTAAATGTAGAATCAACTATATTTGTTTAAGTAACTACGGGAGACTGAGAGAGGGATGGACCAGTAGACAGACAGCAATATAGTGTCAGAGATTCTCAGGAGCATACTGTAAGTCTGCAGCCAGATACGCAGTGAGCAAACAGCAGTACTCCCGGCCAATAGCCTAACTCTCTTTCCATCTTATGCGGATTTCTAGTTTATGTAAAGTCTTCTCTGCCAGCAGTGTAGGGCTCTTGGTCTCTGGAGCACACTGTACTTTAAATGCACTTATGCATTTCTTCTTCTGGATCTTCTTCTGGAATTTCTCCATGCAAATGAAACTCCCATTATCTCTCAGGCGCAGGAAATCAAACGGCTGTCAGGACGACAGCGTTTCTCCCTCCTTAGGCTGGTTTCCTCAGAGATGTTGCTTGACTTGGAAACTGAACACTATTTATAACACAGCATGGCAATGAATATTCTTTTTTCCTGTGTCTTGTTTCTAAGCTTTTGTCTCATTACTCTGCCTACAAACAGGTTGGAGGAGGAAGAGGAAGAAATGAAAGTTAATCTTTTCCTCTAACCCACTGCTGCAATTTACATTATAATGGCTTTGTGAAATTGGAAGTAAAATGTCCATGTGTAGGGAAATGTACAAACAAACAAGTCAAATAATGAGCAAAGTGTCTCTGTGTAGAATTATGATGCTTTTGTTGTATTTCAAACAGCAGTAATGCTTTTCTGAGTTGTGTTTGAATCATTTTACTGCTAAAGTTAAACTACTTTGTCATTACACACATCTTACACGAGCATCAATGTGTTGTGTTTTGTCAGTATGTCATTTAATGGAAAATGCTGTTATTCTGTTTCTGTTTTAGTTTTTTATCTGTTCATATTTTTTATCTTTTGTTCTAAGTACAATTTATTTGTCTGAATATACACTGGAGATCAACTTTTATGATTGAACACAATGTCATGAAGGCTTCTAATATGCAGTCTGTGTAAATACTTTAACAAGTATATTTTTGGAAATATGCTTATTCACTTTCTTTTTGTACGTAATAAACAAATAAGATATAAAATGTTAAGTGTGAGGTGCTGCTAAGTGGACTTTGTTACCTTTGGACAGAGCTAGCTGCTGTCCTTATGCAAAACTAACTAAACTAAGCTAATTGGCTGCTGGCTCCAGCTATATATTTACTGTACAGACATGAGAGTGGTATTGATCTTCTCATCTAACTTTCTGCAAGAAAGCAAATACGTGTATAAAATTTCAAACTATTCCTTTAATGCTACATTTAACTAAACTGCTGAACACTTCATACAGATATATAAAATAAATACATTATAAAACTATGCAACTAACTAAAACTGGAGCCTTTTTAAGTTCTTGGGCATCCACATTCTGTAGCCTCTGGTGTTTAGAGACAGAACAATGACTAAATGCAAGCCTGGCTGTGCGATTTAACACGTTACCATCTAGAGGCAGCTCCTCTAGAGCCTGTTTTCCCCAAACTTTACCTGCCATCTCTACCTGTCCGATGGTCCCAAAGCTGCAGCTGCCTGAGCACACACACAGCAAACCCTCCCTACTGCTTGATATTCCTGCACTGATGGTTTTTCCCCTCATCTGCTCTGTCTCTTCTCTCCTCCCCAGAGGCAAGCCAAGTACTCAGAGAATAAGCTGAAATGCACAAAAGCCCGGAATGACTATTTGTTGAACCTGGCAGCAACAAATGCAGTTGTGGCAAAATATTACATCCATGACGTCTCTGATATGATTGATGTAAGTATGCGCTAGGCACATGTGTTTGTTTACATCTCTCAGCTGGGATTTCTGACTCTGCAGCACTGTCGCTTTTCTCACCATCTGTTCCTATGTCTCATTCACTCTCAGCCTGTTAGCTGTTTGTTTTCAAGCTGCTCTGTTGGTCCCAATAAATGTATTTGCCATCATTTTTTCATTATTCATTTCTGCATAACGAAGTTAACACTGATATACTGGTGACTGACTGCTGCTGACATGAATATTAGTTCAGCTATCTGTGGTATCATGCAGCTACAGAAGGATATTTTTGACTGATGATTTCAAGGGACTCCATCAGTGTTGACAGAATGAATATTTGCTCAGGCTCCCACTCTCCTCTTCATCGGTCGCGTCCTCATTCATTTGTTTTTGTTAACGCTGCTTTTGGGAGCTCTGCTGGGACAAACACAGCATGTCCTTGTGATCGTTTGCCTCTAACTGTCACCAAGTGAAAAACACGACCCAAGATGCACACTCGCTCTCCCTTTATAGTCTATCGTCTGTTCTTCTGTTGCCTCTCCTTTCATGGATCAGAGAAGGGAAAGCAGCCTTTATAACACTGACTCAAAGAGCTGTAGGTGAAGTGAAAACTCAAGCTCAGTGTATAATATTCCCTTCATTATTACCCACAATAATCCCTAGTTTGTATATCCCAAAGGCTTGCAACCAACACTTAAATATGAAGTCACTTTTATTCAAATTATGAACCAGTAGCACTGCTAGGATGTCTGATTACCAGAGTCTAAAAGGGTGACTTTGTTTAGCAAACCACTAATGGTTGGAAGTCGGTCAAAGTCAGCTGGTGAGCAGGGGCTCTGTTTAGGCAAGCATGAATGCGGTTAATGTGGTTGGCACTGGGCTCTCAGCCCCGGGTGACCTGCTACCAGTCAGACAAACAGATGATCATTAAAACGAAGAAGCCTTTATTGACCAATTTAGACATGATCATTGGAGAAATTCTCTATATATTCATTTTAACTGAGCAGACATATAGCTCCCTCTTCTGTGTGTTACATTTTTTTTGCTTTCTAACTTAATTTTCATTGTCTCTTTTGTTGTTTTCTTCCAGTTACACTTTTATACAGCCAACACAAAAGGGCATGAACTTTAAACTAGCTTTTTTTTTTTTTTACTTACTAAGATAGACATAGAAGGTCGCTAATGTCCTGCATAGTATATTAGGTAGTTGTGGTAGTAAGTTATTGCTGTCTTTTGTCTTTTATCTTATTTTTAAGTGTGTCGTCTTTCTTTCTTGGGTTTTACATTGTTGCATACTGTAATCAATTGTTTTGTTTTTGTGACTGTTGATAAGTAAAAAATGTATAGTAATACTTTGTTGCTAAGGCATGCTGTGTCACAGAGTTTATGTGACAAATGGCTCTGAATGTGAGTTTTGTGGTTGTTGATTTCAAACCAAAAACTTAAATATTAAAGTCAGATTTCTATCGGCAACGTCAGCCCTTCAACATGCCTGTGTGCTAATGGCCTGGTTGTCACATTTTTGCTTGAGGCCAGCCCACCATACGGCACTACATTAGCCACACGGATAGATACACATTTCCAGGTCAGGCATGCTAAGATATTATTTCAGTGAGATTTCTATAATATAATGAACATCACTTGCAATAAACAATTGCAGTTGAAATAGTACACACAGTATGTCTCTGCTATATGCATTGATATGTTAATGGTAGCTAGACATACTGAGAGCCTGATTCATAGCTATCTCTGCCTCTTTGCTGGGAAGCTTTGATGGATCCAGTGTCTTGAAACTGACAGGTCTCTGTCTTTCCAAATTCTGCTGAGCTGCAGGGAAATGGATTGTGAGCATGATTGGTTTGGCTGCCCCAAATGGGGCAGAGGAGAAAAAGGGGTCCGTTTAAAATGTCAGAGTAACTGCACACCACACATCAAACCAGACATTCATGCAGCAGGAGGTTAGCTTTGTCAGCATCAGTGACTTTGAACTGTTGAAGTGTAATTCTGAAGAACATGTTGAGTTTGCATCACTATAATGAAAAAAATGAGAACATAAAAAAACAGTATTTGTATTACAGAGTGTATCTAATATTCCTTTCCTCCGTTTATCTGCTCCTCCAGACTGCTGCTGCAAATATGAATGTATTCTCACTTGTTTGAAAAGAGATTCATTTTCTCTCTTTAGTCTTTAGTCTACTGAGCCACTTTGACTGAGTGGTGCAATGAGGCTTGTGCACCAAAGTAGAGACACTACTTCCTCAGTGCTAAAGAGTGCTAAAGAGCGTTTACTTAGTGATTCACAGAGCTGTCAGTTGCCTCAAGCTCCCTCTAAACCTCCTCACTACCATCCTCTGCTTAATTAGGTTACTTCATACAGCTCTGTGCGATAAGGCTCTGTAATTATCCCTGCTGTCCTACTGTGCTAGCTCCTGTAATTCTGTGAACTCTACTTCTATTTTTGAAAAGTAACCTGTAGCAGGAAGTAATTTGGGAATTAGTCCATTAAAGTGGTCTGAACATCACTGTAAGGTGCTCAAGTAACAGACTTTACCATATAAATTTGCACTTTCACGTTCCTCCACATTCGCTGATAAATTTATATTAATTCATCACATTAAAGGTGGTGTAACTTCCCATGTTGCTGCAGTGATGTGAAAGCGTTCTCCAGGGTGTGGTCAGTACACCATGACTTCACTGTTGGGTGTGGTTATAGGTGCAACCATCAATTGCACTGCGTGTGATTAGAGGTGTTAACTAACTTTTTAAGAATACATTACATATACATTATATTATACATATATTTTTCCTTATTTCCAATATGCCCTCACATCTACTACCACAAGTATTTTCCTGGTTATTTATCAGATATTTTATCTCCACAGTGCTGTGACCTGGGCTACCATGCTAGCTTGGCACGCACTTTCAGGACTTACTTATCTGCTGAGTACAACTTGGAGACATCTCGCCACGAGGGACTGGATATCATAGAGAATGCAGTGGACAACCTGGACTCCCGCAGTGACAAGCACAAGATCATGGATATGCATAACCAGGTGTTCTGCCCTCCAATGCGCTTTGAGTACCTGCCGCACATGGGAGATGAGGTTAGATGCTTTTAATGTTGCAGCTTTCATGCAAGATTTGTTTCACTTTAACTCTGGTGGATGTATTTTTCACAAAGTTACTATTAAAGCTTCAGATGGATCTGTTTTGTTTTTTCTAATCCATTTGTCCTCCTCCAGGTATGCCAGGTGAGCGCCCAGCAGCCTGTCCAGACTGAACTCTTGATGCGCTACCACCAACTGCAGTCTCGCTTAGCTACACTAAAGATTGAGAATGAGGAGGTGAGGATTTGTCATGGCTCTGTGTCCAGCCATTACCTTCAGCCCCATCCCCTAAAAACAGAAAGCTCTGTCTCATGTTCCCCTGAGCCAAGTAGGAGGGCCGCATCACCATCTGTTTTCATTGCAATTACCCTCCAATGACCCTTGCTCTGTGGGAGCCGGGAATATATTTAGATTGTCACAGTGCCAATGTTGTGTTTTCTATGAAGTTATATATGAAATTGTGACGAGGAAAGGACCTTCTCATCAAGAGCTGCAGACACAAAGGTGCAAATGGAGGTGATAATAACCAGGGCCTGTTAGATTCTCCTGTGCCAATGGCCCTGCCTCTTCCCTGTTTCCCCGTGTCTTGTGCTCTGCAGGATAATGGACGAGCCATGCCATTACTGGAAATGAGCTTGATCAATCTCAGCCCTAAACAAAAAGCCCCCTTCAGTAATTTCACCTGCAGGTTGCTCTGGACTGACATTCTGATGCTGCTTGGTGTCATTTCAATGCAATTCAAGGTCATATATTGTTCAGGGGTCAATTTGTCTTGGTTATAAATAGTGCTGTAAATCACTCACTCCCGCCCATTAGTTACTTCAGTTCCATCAAGGCTTGGGACTAAAATATGGCTAAGACTGAGTAAGATATAGTGCTTAAATTATCATCTTCTTTCCTTTCTATATTCCCCCATCTGTGCAGGTGAGAAAGACCTTGGATGCCACGATGCAAACGCTGCAGGACATGCTGACGGTAGAGGACTTTGACGTGTCGGATGCCTTCCAACACAGCCGCTCCACTGAATCCATTAAGTCTGTGGCCTCCGAGTCCTACATGAGCAAGCTGAATGTAGCTAAGAGGAGGGCGAACCAACAGGAGACTGAAATGTTCTACTTTTCAGTGAGTTCATGTCAATTTTGATCCATGTATCAGCCCAAACTGTTAATGGCTGCCGCCCTGCTATGAACTGTAGCTTTGCGCTGCTACTCAAAAGCAAGCCATCAGTCATCATTTCTGGAAATAGAATTTAAATTAAAACTAGAACAGATCAAATTTATGCTGATTTGTGCTACGCTGAATTGTTTGACTGGGCTCATGTTACACTGGATTAGTACTGCTCACTCATTGTTACCTCCATCTCTCTGTCTAGAAATTCAAGGAGTACCTGAACGGCAGTAACCTAATCATTAAGCTGCAGGCCAAGCATGACTTACTGAAGCAGACACTGGGTGAAGGTAAGGAGTCTTTTCTCTTCATCTGTCTTTCAATGTCGTGTGCCTGACCTAATGTTTTACCTGGTTATTATGACCCCGCCACAGCTCTGTAAAATTGCTGCCTTTAGGGTTATAGTGTGCAGGTTTTATCTAATAAGCAGCAGGGAGTGAGGTACAGGAGGCTTCAAAGACATAGCTTTTTTTCGGGAAGCAGGAAGAAAAGAGGAAATGAGAGTTAATATTCAAATGGAAAGAACGATCCGAAAGCAAAAGCAATCCACATCTACTATTTGGTGTCCAACCTTTCCACTCATCCAACTCAACTCAACTTTATTTATACAGCACCTTTCATACAAACATTCAGCCCAAAGTGGTTCACATAATAAACTGAAACAACAAATACAATAAAGATGACAATAAATAACATTTTGCCAGGCTTAAATGAATTCAACAAAAATAAAATGTAAAATAGAAAAATAAACACAATGGAGACAGGTAATGAAAAACCAATGATTAGAACTCAGTTGGTTCTATCTCCATTGGTTAGTATGGAGAAGTATTATCCAATTAGTCTCTATATGGTGTAGCCACAGGGAGGGTTTCCATTTCCAGGCTGGAAGAGAAAGGCTTACCTCGGCCCCTCCCTTCCCCACGGGTCCCCTTGTCACCTCAGCCGTGAACAGTTTACGCCCAATCAATCAGCAGGACCAGACCCAGGCCCATTTCTGCAGCTGCTCCTGCATTAGGGGTTTACCTAATAGAAAAGGGCATCAGGCGCAGACAGCTGAGGCCCTGCAACACACATGCATATTTTCAGATTTCACACCTTGGATTCATTAATTAATTAATTCAAATCTTACTTAATAATTTATTTTGCTCTGTCAAGCTTTCAGGACCCCAAAGGGTCCTTGTGATTCCCTCTGAACTCTGTGGCAAGCTTCATGCTTTTGCAGTCATAAACACAATATACAACATATATATACAATATAGTTCATATAAATGTCTGGACAGATCTGTATGTATGTCCACTGTGGAACAGCTGAGAGTGTATGAACACGACATATGGTGTTTCCAGGTACCACCCATGTTTAATTATTCAGATGATCAATCAGGGTTGCGTCGTTCTCATTAGCTCGTTGCTTCCCACCCAAGATAGTGTGTCTGCGTATGTGTGTGGTTGTTTGCGAGCCTGACAGAGGGAACAAAATGAGACTGGTGAGTGCCACATGGCATTTACATCTTGCTGCATGTATTAATAAAAACATGATGTCAAGCATTGGCACGAGGCAAGATGGCGCTAGGATATCTGCCAGCCCTTGTTTCCCAGATAAAGAGTCATCAATTCCCTTGTTCAGTCAATTTGATTTGTACTTGTCACATTTTATGTTTATAGAATACATAACTCTCTATCACTAAGGTACTTTTGGATATGAAATTAGAGGAAAATCAGCAAGAAACTTGCTTGAGAAACTGGGTGTAATTTTGAGGTTGGTTGGTCAGAAGTAGACAGGGCTATCACTCAGAGGAATGATGTCTGGGAAATGTGCTGTTGTTTCTTCACATGAATGCTCCAGAGACCATGTCCCATCTGCCAGAATGATGTGTTGAGAAATTGGTTAGCCTTTGCTCTTTCTGTCCATTGTTAGGTGGAGTAAAGAAATAATGCTGGAATGCTTTGGTGCCATTGTTGCCTTTTTTTGTACATTGACTCCTTTCCAGTTGATGATCCAGTCACTGGCAGACAAAGACTCATACTCAGTCTTAAAGCTGTCAAATTTCAATTAACTTGCTGTTGTGATTAGTTTTAAGGGTGTGCGTTATAGTATAGCTGAGTTTGAGGATGACTTTGCAGACTTGTGTTTTCTTTAAAAATGCTAAGTGTAGATGCCTATAACATGTGTGTGTTGTTGGAAACCCATAACAAAAGGCTCAGTGAACCAGCACAGACATTGCTCAGTGTCACCACTGATGGACCCCTCCCTCCCCAACATATACACAGAACAGTCGCCACCCCCCTTTTCTTTTGCTCTGAGCGAAGGTCTATAACCCCACAGGGTCCTCTGGGTCCCCTGAGGTTTCAGCAACGACTGTTCAATGGCTTTGTCCAATGAATGGTGTTAGCACTGCTCCATTCATCGCTCTCTCAATAGTCATGTTGTCTCTCATCAAACCCTTCAGTGACGATGGACACTGGAGTCAGTATAATATGTACCACAAAGATATAACATGTCCCTCTTGTGTTTTGTTCTTTCCACAGGGGAAAGAGCCGAGTGTGGAACTACAAGGTATGATGTCCTTTGAGATCCCTGTCTTTCAGCCATAAAGCATCTGCTTATACATTTTTTTCAGATTATTAGATTATGTTTAATTCATATATATATTATATATATAACTACCTTGCATGGCTTTTCAAATATTGCAGTCACTGAATGTCAAGCGGTGTCTAAACAAAGTCCATCTTGAGTTTTAGACATTAAACTAATGTTCCATCTATAAAAAACTATTAAACTTGGCCATGGTTTTGCAGATGCTATTGTCCTTTACAAAAATCACACTTCTGCTTGCAACATATTTGTATTGTGGTTTCTTTCATGAAGGATTGTCATAAATATAAAATTAACTGAAGAAATTGTGCTGGCATGTTTCTGTGTGGTTGTGACAGTATACATATGCACACATGATTTACAGTGTTTTTTAAATATCTATCATTAGTAGAATGGCATAATAATAATAATGATAATAATGATTATCATTATTATTATGATTATTAATATTATTACATTTGTATTTTGAGTAAGGAATTATGTAATAAAGTTCCAACATGTATCAATTTATGGTTTGTTTGCATTGCCAGTTAAATGCTGAACTTTTCTGTCTGACAACATGATACCAACTGGCGGGCTTGATTTCATTGGTCTTGTTGATAATGTTCATTAATGTGTGCTTTGTTTTTAGTAAGTCAAGAAGTGTTTTATTGAAGATCCGACCCACAGCCTTGTAAATCCCAACCCCTCTGTTGTAATTAAAAGGCAGACTTTTATCAGGCCTTAATGATAAAAGACCTCTCTAATGAATGTTTCTCTCAAACAAAGATTCTTCACTTTTTCCATTATTTTTCTTAAACAGAGGATTTTTTTACTGCCCCGTTTTAGTGACTGTTAAATACCTGTTTTTGAACCTTCATGTTCGGTTCTACAATTTTCACAGAATATGGTGTTTTTGTTTCCTTTGTCTATCATTTCCCAGGCCCCCCACCCTTCCCCCTAAACCACAGAAAATGCGGAAGCCTAGGCCACGCTCCATGTATAACCATAAGCTGTTTAACGGCAATATGGAGACCTTCATCAAGGTACCCTATGGTGGTGGTGTATGACTGAGCGGCCCTTGTGGAGCAGGAGAGGAAGGCAGCTAGAGCCTTCACTCTCATTCTCTTCCTCACTTTGGCCTTCTGTTCCTCCCTCTTCCAGCTGCCCTTGATCATATAACGCCTCTGTTTAACCTCTATTCCTCCTCCTCCTCCCTTCCATGCCCGTACAGACAGAGCGGCAGTCAGCTGTCTCTTTATTCCCCTCCAGAACAATTTACCATCTCTGGCTTTATTTCTAAATCCAGTCGCTTTTTAGACGACTGTGAGGTGGAAGACAGCAGTGGGTCTGCTTTGCCCCTCACTGCACCCAACCCATCACTGCATCTCTGTAGCTTTCCTATCGCCAGTCCCTGTGCTTAGCCTTCTTTAACCTCCAGAGGGGTCATTCGTCATCCAAGCTTTTCTAACTTTGTGCTTCTCTGCTTTCTTTTCCTCTGCTACTCTGTGCTTTGCTGCTTTCTGTCCCAGAGGAAGAAGGAATGCCCGTACCCGCATTCAGGTACCACTGTTGTTGGAGAGTATAGGTCAGGGCACAAGGGCAGTAAAGCACTAAAGCCCTTGAACAATAGTAGACATATACTGGCTCCTGCTCAGGCTACGCTTGCATGCTGCTGTATTCTGTGACATCAGGTTATTAACAGTTGCTTGTATTTTTTGTGTTTTTGTTTGCTTTACACTGCTCATGAGATTTGCTTAATTAAATGTTTCTGAAGCATCAAGATGTTTATGAGGCATTAGATTTGGTTGTGGTGAAATGGAGCATTAGACTTCTCCTGTCTTGCATATCTTTAATTAATGTAAACTAGAACAGGGGATTTGTTATTTGTATGGATTCAAAGGAGAATAGTTTGTTTATTTAGATGGTGGCACTGTATAAAAGTTACACAAAATACTATATATAATTTATTCTTTTAGTTATACATTCTTTTTTGCAAATTATTTGTGTTCTCTTGTCTGTATTTATTTAAATTTCTCATAATTTCATTTCAGGATTCAGGTCAACCAATCCCACTTGTTGTTGAAAGCTGTGTCAGATACATCAATCTATACGGTAAGTCTGGCATCGAGTTGCTGTTACTGCTCCTTCTGAGTGAAAGGGCAGGGAAAAAAAGCAAACTCTGAAGTCCTTCGAAAACTCCTTCAGCCTCATAAGAAGTGACAGCAGCTATTGGACGAAGCAATCTATTTCCCTGAATAGCCGCAGGTCCAGAGAGTGACCTGCTCTGCTCTCCACCTCAGTCTCTGAGGTGCTCAGCTGCCTGCCAGTGATTTGACAAGCTCATAACAATAGATCACACACGTAGAGTTATGAAAGTCCCATTGGTCTTTGTTTAGTCAGTTCAGCCACCCCCCTCTCTTTTATAGCTCCTCCCTGTCTACCTTCACATCTGTCTTCAGCTCATTGCTGTAGCTGCAGGCCTTTCCCCTGGATCTGGACCTAATGAAACTCCAGAAAACTGATTAGGAGCCCTCTAACTGAAACCATATGCTGCAGCCTCACTGAGGGGCCTTCTCATGGAAAAATACGCATCTCCTTTTCATTACCAGATTACATTTCCTGCTCTGTGTTATGTGTTTCCAGTGGGCTTTTATGAAGCTGGTACTGGGGTTTGGAGATAGTAGTAGCTAGCATAACTCTGAATCTCCAAATTCTGGGTTGTATTTCTTTCAGGCTTGCAGCAGCAGGGCATATTTCGCGTGCCAGGATCACAGGTGGAAGTCAATGATATTAAAAACTCATTTGAGAGAGGTGAGTCAAAGACAGATGGCATTATATTCCCCCTTTTCATGTCACAAATGCTTAAACAGGATAAACACCATCTTTTATCTCACCACTGAAAGCACATTTATTTTTCTCCATCAGGTGAAGATCCCTTGATTGATGACCAGAATGAGCATGATATCAACTCAGTGGCAGGGGTACTGAAGCTGTACTTCAGAGGACTCGAGAACCCTCTCTTTCCAAAGGAGCGATTCCTGGACTTCATCTCCACCATCAGTGAGTCACGCACAGCAGAAAATATTCAAAGTCATTACCGTCGTGAGTGGACACACCTTGCAGTTTCTTAAACGCAGCCTTACTGAAGAAGAGAAAGGCATGCAGTGTAGCACATGGAAGCAATCTTAACACCAGGACTGATATTTAGCAGAAAGCCAGTAGGAAGAGAAGAGTGTGGGCCACATCGGTCTGCCGTGTGCGAGTTCACCACAGAATCATTTCCCCGCTGTTTCGACAGTAATAGTTTGATCACTCAGCCTGCCTTAGGGGTCTGGTGAAAGGCAGGAGGGGGCATCTATTAAAGTGTCAAATAACAGCTTTCAGAGTCTTCTCTGGCTTTTGCTTTTGCACACTTTGATCAATTCTCCTTGCAAAGGTCTGGTTTATATTATATTTTAGTGGACAGTGTTGTTATAGGCTCAGTGCCTATATATATATATATATATATATATATATATATATATATATATATATAAATAAATATAAAAATTTAAAAGCTATATTTGTGTCTTGTGTATTGCAGTGTAAACCACTGTTGTAACACCTCTCTGTTTCTGTCCTTTGTGTTTCAGAGCTGGAATCTGGAGCTGAGAGAGCGCATCACATCCAGCAGATTGTTGTGACTCTTCCTCGCACCATCATAATCGTCATGAGATACCTGTTTGCTTTTCTCAACCAGTGAGTAAATACATCAGCCACAGGTCCTGGTGCATACCGAAGAGCATGTAGAGATTAGTTCATTCTTTGCACAGACATTAGTGATGTACCGTAATTTAATCTATTCTAGTGGGGAAAATCCATATTGAACAAACATAGAATAGCTACAGTCAGGGGAAAAGACAAGATCCAAATATATATATATATATATATATATATTGGAAAAAACATCCTGCTTCTTATGCCCACATCTGTCTGCAGTATTTTAGAAGTTATTTATGGGCTCGGAAACTCGTTCCTCACTGAAGTAGTATACCTGTCCTCCTATAATGGATGTTATCAATACTCCTTTTACTGGCTTTGCCTGCAGAACAAAGAGTTTGATTTCATACCCCAGGTCTCTGCTCTTCTGCCCTTTCATACCCTAACCCTGATTTAGACTTCCTCTTGCAGCACTGAATGATTTGGTTACCAAGAGTCGGTTGTGGCATGTGCTGTTGAAGGGTTCAGCTGATCACAGTGCTTTGCAATCAAGCATGTAATACTGCATGTCAAAACTGAGTTCAGTTGAATCCAGTGACTCTATAGCAGGTCTGTGCTACATAGTTCTTTTTCAGGCATTATGGGATTGTTATTTCATAACTTAATGCCGTTATAATCAATATTTTCATATTAACAATGGACCACGTAACTAGTTGCATGTGAACAGGGTCACAAATATTGATGAGAATTATCAACTGACTCAGTAATTCCCCTAAACTCTGGGTTTATGGCATATTTCAGCGTTTTGGTTTTCCAGCCTGCAATAGCCTATTCTGGTTTAAAAGAATATGAACATAGTGAAACATTTAGCAGCTAAAGAGACAGATAGATATTTACCTCAATAGTTATCTCAAATTTGCCATATCAACTTAAAAGGAGATAATATGTCAGTACTGAGTTCACCAATTGTTTCCACTGTTATTGCAGGTTTGACAATGTAGCAATCAATCTAATGATTTATTACATAATTTATTATCCAAATATAAATAAAAGCGTAGCCTAAGCACAAAAATACAAAACAGGATCTTAGCCTTATCGCTCCCACTTTCATTGACAGTTCTGTCAATACAAAGACTAACACTAGTCAACAACTCAGTCTATACATACAGTATCTGATGTTGTTAAAGGTTGTTTCAATATTATTTGTAGACAAAGGAAAAAACACACAATGTTCTGTCCCTCAGTCTCTCCCAGTACAGTGACGAGAACATGATGGATTCATACAATTTGGCAATCTGCTTTGGTCCAACCCTGATGCCCATCCCAGACGGCCAGGATCCTGTAGCGTGCCAGGCACATGTTAATGAGGTCATTAAGACCATCATTATCCACAATGAAGTCATCTTTCCCAGTCAACGTGAGCTGGATGGCCCAGTGTACGAAAAGTGCATGACTGGGGGGGAGGAGTACTGGTGAGTATTTGCTAGATGTGAACAAAGTAGAGTTATGTTGATACGACACTTCTGTCAACTCTTATCGGCTAAGCACTTGCGTAAACACGCTTATTGTTCATAAATCAAATATTTGTAAAGCTCCAATGTCTACATATGTGACATTTTGCATTTGCTCAAACAGTGACAGCCCCCACAGTGAACCAGGAACTATTGATGAGGCTGACAATGGAACTGAACCGCACACCAGTGATGAAGGTCAGTACATGTGTTTTTTTTTATGAAGCGGCTTTGTTATTACCCAGGTATGTCTTCAGCCTGGTCACATGGCTCAAGGGATGGCAGTGTTAGCCCTTCACTTTGGTCCAATATCTCATCAACAATTGGATTGCCATGCAATTTGGCACAGGCATATATGGTCCCTTGTGGATGAATTACACTGACTTTGGTGATTCCCTGAGATTACCTCGAGCACCACCAGCATGTTGACATTTTGAGTGAAATGTCCTGACAAGCTGAATTTGGTTCAGATATTCATGTCTCCCTCAGGGTAATGTGAGGATAACTTGATAACTTTGCTTTTAGTTCTAATTAGCCAATGTTAGCATCCTAACACGCTAAGATAGTGTACATGAAGCATTATACCTGCTAAACATCAGCATGTTAGCATACTGACCTTAGCATTTAGCTCAAAGCACAGCTGTTCCTAAATATAGCCTCAAGGAGCCGCAGCAAGGCTCTTGTTTCTTCACGCAGACCATTTTTCTTGATTTACTGCATCTAATGTTGGTAGTCTTGTGAACTGTGGGTCTTGCCTGTGTGCACTATAGTCAATATCAGAGCTAGGGGAATATGTTACCATTATGTTCTCTTATACTATAGTATACATTTAGACTTGTTATAACCATTTCAGTTGACTTTGCATTCAAAATATTGGCAGCACTTTTACAATATCTCAAGTTAAATCCCACTGCAGTTTCTCCTACACACTTCACAGCCCGTTCTCATTCCCAGGTCATCAAATACAGATGCGAGCAGTGTTCAGAGAGTTGCTGTTTCACCGCTAGATGCCACTAAATCCTACACACTGGTCCTTTATGGAGAAGCAAATTCTACAGTTGTGTTCAGAGACAAATATAAAATAGCTTTTTTTAAGATTTGACTAAGTTCACATCTTCAAAAATAGTATTATGGATTTCACATGAGAATATACGTGTATGTGATGTGATTTTAAGTAGTCTTTGTGGATAAGAAAGCCTCACGTATAGACTTCTTATTAAGTGCTTTTGACTGAGAGGTGAGTGAGGTTTGCTCTGCAACAGCTTATGATTGCAAAGGCTTATATGATGTTTTGGAGCTGAAGGCAAGTTGAGTAAACAGTGTTGGCATGCAGCACTGCCTCTTTGATCTGTCTTTCTGTGTGTATGTGCGTGTGTGAGTGTGTGTGTGTGTGTGAGAGAGAGAGAGAGTCTCTCTCCTCTCTCTCCTTCCCCCTCTCCCTCCTCCTCTGCTCACTCTTTGTTCAGTGTTAGTCAGCAATTCTCCTGGGACTTTCTCCTTTGTGCAGTATTTCCCCAATTCTCCTCTGAGCTTTGAATACATAACTGGGCCAGGCTCAAAAGCCAAAACACATATAACACACAAAATAATATCTCCTGTCTGTCTGTGCCATCAATGAGTAGTCAGAGGATGGGTCTATGAAGTATGGTGCGTGTTAGGTCAGACTGGGTTAACCCTATCTCGGAGCTTCATCTGCACTGTTAGCTGTGTTTGTTAGTGCTGACTCTTTCTCTTTTTTCTTGCTCTCACTTGGAGAAGACAACAAAGGCTGGCTGCCTGCTCTAGGGTCTGCTCATGTTGGCCTTAATACTCTTATGTGACGTTATGGGCTCTGGTTTTGCACTGTAGTTTCTGTAGTCGGTTCAGTTGGTGTCCTCTGGCAGCAGTTCAACTTTCATGGAGGAAAAACAAGCTGGTGCTAAACTGAACTAAGCAAGCAAGTTGTGATGACTGTACCTTTTCTATTCTATTACTTTGTAATTGAAACCAAATTTGAACAAAACTGCTTTCAGTCTTCATTCACTCCAACTATAAGGGTCTTTTCACCCTGGTGGTAGGTTTTTAAAAATAAAACCCATGATGATAATCATACAGTTAACTCTGACTGACCCCTGCTGGCTGGTCTGTTGAAAGACACTGCAGAGACAACTAGGTGTTCTTTACAGTAGTTGCTGTTTCTCATGTAGTTACTAGTTCAATAATTGTTTAAGCTGCAATTAAATTAAAATTGTGTTTGGTATTTTAGGTTTTAAGTATAATATGACTACACATACATTTGTTTTTGTTTTATTTTGTTTTATTTCAGCTTTGTATCTCTGTAGCATGTCTGAGGGATTTATAATGTAAACTGAGATGTACTGGGTTAATCTTTTGGAGATAACATCATAGCAATGATGTAAATGCAGTAAAAACTGTATTAGAAGCACCTATTCAAAGCTTGCTTGATTTTTTTTTATTGTTTGTTTTAGTACTACATAATAAAAGCCAGATTGTGAATAATCTTGTTGATCAAGTCAGGGAAAAAACAGCCTAGCCTTTCAAATCTGTACCTACAATGTGATCATTGCCATGTTGAGGCTATTAAGCAGTTTATTAAGCTTTTTGTTGATGTTTCTTTGCCTATTTATGTTTTCAGAGGTTGAACAGATTGAGGCCATCGCTAAGTTCGACTACGTGGGACGCACTCCCAGGGAGCTGTCCTTCAAGAAGGGAGCCTCTCTGCTTCTGTATCACAGAGCGTCTGAAGACTGGTGGGAGGGCCGCCACAATGGTGTGGACGGCCTCATCCCACATCAGTACATAGTAGTACAAGACCTGTGAGTAACAGCAGAATCTGTTTTAGTAGCTGTTGTTCGTCGAGTAATCCTCTCTATCTGTGAAGCTGTCAACCAACATTACTGTAATTACTGAAGGAATACATGTACTTCAGTGTGTGTACAATATGCTCACCACCAGTGCCTCTGTTCTTTCAGGGATGATGCTTTCTCAGATAACCTCAGCCAGAAAGCAGATAGTGAAGCAAGCAGTGGACCACTGCTGGATGATAAGAGTTCATCCAAAAATGATGCCCCATCACCATGTGAACAATCACCTGATTACAACTTTGGAGGAGTCATGGGGAGGTGGATATAATTAAGATAAACACCTTTTTTTTTGTTTAAAAGGTTCTGTTGAATACTATTTAGGAGTTTTTCTGTTTGACTGTTGGTCTGATCTGATCCCTCCCCACAGGGTAAGGTTACGGTCTGATGGAGCTGCAATCCCACGACGTCGGAGTGGCACAGACACTCACAGCCCAACCAGAGGGGCTGACACTCCGCCACGGGCTGCTGCGTGTCCCAGTAGCCCCCACAAGGTGTCCATCAGCAAAGGTCGTATAGAGAGCCCAGAAAAGAGGCGCCTTGGCACCTTTGGCAGTGCGGGAAGCATCAACTACCCAGACAGGAAGGCCTATCCTGAGGGTCACCCTCTGAGACCAGTGCCGGGAGCCACTCGTCACAGCAGCCTCGGGGACCACAAATCACTGGAGACTGAAGCTCTGGCTGAGGTAAGGATGGCAAATATCAGGTAGAGGCAAACTTATGGAAAAAAAATGACAAAAATTATACCAAGAAATAGAAGTAATCTCTTTTGGTTTATAATCTATTTTTGGCGGTTCTGTGGTGTCAGTGCCAGACTTATATGAAGTGTGAAGTTATTATTGTATGTAAGCAGATTGGAAAGGTTTGGTAGAACAGAGCCAGGCCCCCTGATGTAGCTGTCAATCTGAGAGCAGCAGCTGGGACCTGGAGTAAATGTCAGGGCCAGACTGCAGCTGGGAGATAGACACACCTCAAGGACACAGAAGCCTGGAACTGAATAACAAGCTAAAATGGCACTGAAGGTTCGGCACCAGATTCTCCTCATCAGCTAATGGCTGCAGCATATTAGATCAAAACATAATCGAACCATAAAATGTTCAGTTCAGTTCTTTAACTTGACTAGAACTGATGTTTTCTGATTGGTCATTTCTAAATGGTATACAGTAAATTTAATAAAAAGCTGTAAAAAAGTAACATAAGTAAAAAAGTACATTTTTCATTTCATATCTTTTCTCATTTTCAAAATGGTTTAACTGATAAAATTGCAGGCCCACACTAGTAGAAATGTGGATGTATTTTGTCCATAATTACAGGCACGCATTGTTTTGCATTAATTTCGGTATCATATAATAAAACGGTATGAAAATGCTACAATAATGTAACAGTGACAGAACACTGTATGGGTCAAATAAATTAATTGTAGGTAAGAAGCTAAAAAGCTAAATGCTAGATGTCTGACTGACCTGGCTGTTATTCTTGATTGTTTGTTTTCCTCATCTTCATCTCTCCTCTTCCAGGATATAGAGAAGACTATGACCACAGCACTCCATGAGCTACGTGAGCTAGAGCGACAGAACACCGTTAAGCAGGCTCCAGACGTGGTCCTGGACACCCTGGAGCCCATGAAGAACCCAGTCAGCTCCGAGCCCGGCAGTCCGCTGCATACCATTATGATCCGTGACCCGGATGCAGCCATGCGCCGCAGCAGCAGCTCCACCTCTGAGATGATGACCACCTTCAAACCAGCTCTGTCCGCCCGGCTGGCTGGAGCTCAGCTGCGCCCCCCGCCCATGAGGCCAGTGCGCCCTCCTACCACCCAGCACCGCTCGAGCAGCTCCAGCTCCTCAGGGGTTGGCAGCCCTGCTGTGACTCCCACTGAGAAGATGTTTCCAAGTAACAATACAGCTGCTGGTTCTAATATGAATACATCCGGTGATGCCGGGGATAAGTCTGGTACCATGTAGCAAAGGTGGAATCTGCTAGTTGGGCTGGTTGTAAAGCTTTCTAAATGAGGGGAAAGCTTATGGAAATGGGTGCTGATGTGTGAAAAGCAGATATGGATGTTTTCCTCTCTGTTTTCTGCCTGACTTAATTCATATATTCAGGAAGCTCCTGAAGCGAGCCTTCAGTATGTTACCATGGTGATAAAGCGGTGGAAGAAGCTGTAGAGGTGTGATAGTGAAAAGCTCAACTCTCTTTGAAACTTGATTTAACTACAGAAAATGTGTGTAAGAATACATGTATTTCAGTTTTACCTCAGTTTCAACAAACATCTGTGGCCATGTACAGTGAATGCAAGTGAAGCAATAGGCCTACTTGTGTGAAATTTGGTATTAGTTTCCACCCAGCACACGTTTTGCAGGGGATGTTTCAGTCACTCCTGCTGACGTGTATGAAACACCTCATCTGGACGGGTGTAAACATCCACGCTCAAATACCATGTCTGTTTACCGTTTAGGTCACAGGCCTATGGCTGTACATACAAACTTACTTGAAGTCGCCATGCTTTCTGTTTGTACTATAATACAGTGGATGTTCAGCAAAGTAACAACTTAGTGACATTATAAATGTCTGCATGCATGGTTTGGAGAAAATAAGGAAACATTTCAGACTTCATTCAGAGATTTGTAATAAAGTGGGATTTTCCCATATGGTCATTGTGAAGATAAAACAGTTAGAACCTTAATTTCCAAAGTAACAAAGTAATACATTTGGATCTTACAGTATTATATTTCAAATCTGCCATGTGTATGGCTATTGGTACTCTAGATGTTGTACCTTAAGATAAAAGCATCCTGGCATGAATATGATCTCTAAAGTCTTAGATTTTACTAATCGGAGCATTACAAAGCAAGTCATCCTCCTCCATCATGTATGGTTGGACAGTGGGCAGACTTAACGTGGCTGTTTCCATGTTCTTTTTCCTATGTCCTGTATCTGAAATGCAGAAAACTAATGCACCAACTAATGTAGGAATCCTGTGGTAAACTTGTATATAATATATAACTAGTAATTTTTTAAGTGTTAATCTTGTACAGGCTAATATGAAAAAGGCAAAGGGTTTGCTGTGAATGGCACTTCAGATCATAATCCACCCTTTTTTTTTATCATATTCAATAAACTGCAGAAATATTCTTTGGCTGTGTAAAATAGAGTTCAAATCATTTACTGTGTACTGTGTGCTTAGAGTGGTTTTGGTAATTGTACTGTAGAGAACTGATTGTTGAACAGACAACAAAGGCTGAATAAATGTGTTCTCTATTATGTTTTTGACACACCATTTTCACACTCAGTTCACAAAAGTTGAACTGTCGCCTCTTCAAGTCTAATTCGGGCCATTTTTATGATTGCATAAGATACATTGAAAAGTGCCCTCTGACAGTTCCTCTTTCCAACTTAAAATGTGATACTCATACAGAGGAACCTGAGAAGCAGATGTTGTCACATACTGATATCACAGCTGTTTCCTTCCTTCCTGTCCTTTTCTTATCCTTGTTGATAGATACAGTTATGATCTGACTGTAGAATATTCCTTTTTCTTTGGAAGAAAACTAAATAGAGAAAATTTCAGTGTTTATATCTACTGTACCTCTTGTCATTCTGACTGCTCTAGTCCACAGAGCCGCATCCCAAAGAGCTGGCTCTGTTCTGCATGTTTTGCGCTGTAATGCCTGACTCTTATTCTGGGACAGTTAAACAATGGCTGTATGTGGTGCCTTGCCTTGGTAAAACGCACACAAATTAATTCAATATTGGATGTTTTATTTCCTTAACTAATGGGCCTTAACAATTATGGCGATTGGGAATGATGAAATAAGCTGCTTGCTGCAGTTGCTAAACTAGAAGTGAAAGAGATTAATGCTTGATTGAGCAAAATAAACTTAAACATTAGCATGTGAACAAGTCACTGTCAGCTCTGCAGTCAGTCTGTACATTCTGCAGTATTACTGAGATACATGCTGTAAACTGAGCATAATTGCTTGTTGTCAATGTGTTGTTTGTAACAGATTTAAAAATGTCCAGGGTGGGAGAACAGAGAGCTCCTAACAGCCAGAGAAAGGCAATACAGCATTTAACGTCATAAAGTGCACTCACATCCTCTGCTGGCCCCTGCTAGTATTGCCTCTGTATACCATCAGCTTTTGTGGGCATTAAGAGTCTGACCTGGAGCTAATATTACAATCACTAAGCTCATCCATATTGGTCTGTCCTGGTTACAGTTTTGCACCTGTTGAAATCTATGAAGATATTGTTTATTGAAATAAGAAGAAAGCACACACATTTCAAAAGGTGAAATTATCATCATTATATTTAACTAGACTGTTTTTTTTTAATTTATAGACACTTGTGTAAGTGGACCAGGAAATTTGAGTGCCTTTTGTGCACAACATCAATTTTTATTGGACTTTTATATTTACTTTTTTAAATGTAATATGTTGTCTATTAGTTGTCACGTTTATTATAAACTGATGTTGCTTTTTTATCTTTTACTTTCTATTGCTACTTAGTCTTCAAACCACCATAAGGAATGCATTGTGTAAAGATATTCCTCTCATGAATCACAGAAGAATCATCATGAAATATCTGTGTTTGGGTGATTGTTGAAGAATAGGAGTTATAAAAACTACTGTATACACGATCTACTGGTGAAGTTCAGTAGAATCATCTCAGAATATTTCTTTCATCTTTTTGTTTTTATCTGTGTGAACTGTGCTGTGAGCCGTAACTTTCTCTCATTTTGCTCCTTCCCTTTCAAGGCAAAATCATTACAGTATTGTTGGAAACAGCGCGACTGATATGGACCCTCTCCTTGCAGAGGTTATAAGGCACTTGGTGCACTCTCCTTTTCCCTACATGTGCGGTTACATGGACGTTTTCTTTGCTGGAATGTGTGCTTAAATTGGTAACACTGTTTTTGTCTGCTGAGAAGATTTAATATTCAAAAAGGACATCACAGTGAGAGCAGACTGAGCGCCTGGTCATGTTGTAGGGGACCGGAGTGTGAGTTACTGTCACGCTGTTTACCTTCTCTTTAATTGTTTGTCTAGTGATGCTGTTTGTTGATGAGTGTCTGGTTGGTTGAAACCCTGTGATGTAATGTATACCATACCACTGAAAACCCCTGCGTCCAAATAAAACCATTATTGCTCTGTGATTTGGTTGTCATGAGTCAATTGTTTTTGATTTGTGGCGCTAAAAGGCAAATCAGGAATCAAGTTGTGAACGAATGGTGAACACATCATAAAGATCTAAAAAATAATAGATAAGGTCATAGAAGCCTTTTTCTGTAACATTAAATATTCATTATTAAATAAGCAGCAATGAAAGTAAGAGTTGGGGGGAAAAAAACATCCATAGTTATATATAATAAGTTTTATTATTAAAACCTAATTTAAAAAAAAACAAAAAAACAATTCAAACATTGTCACTCTGCATTGATCCATTGATGATAGTAAGACACGGACTGAGAAAAATGGGTTTTCAGACCCTTTCAAGGAGCAGTGTGTAGGATTTATTGGCATCTAGCAGTGTAGTTGCAGATAACGACCCTCCCATTTCAAGCATATACGAGAAACTACAGTGGCTCACTCACAAAACTCGCAAAAGGCCCAATCTAGAGCCAGTGTTTGGTTTGTCCATTCGTTTCTGTTACATGGCAGAATACAAAATTTAAAAAAGAATAATTGAATGCCCGAAATGCACGAGGGTCTGTAGTTCATTCTGTGGCCACATGATGGAGAAACTGCAGCAGAGAAAGTGTTTGATGAACATGAGGTTTACATGTAGAGTGTGTAGTCAGCACTATGTTGATTACTCTCTAAGGATTAGGAAGGAGCGTTGTGACGGCTACCGGAGAACAGAGTTTTGCATAAATTAGATGATTACATCTCCCTTTAAAATTGGCTTTCTAGTCCACTGGTCAGAGTGTGTTACACCAGCAGCTCACACTGCTGGTGCATAAACAAAATTCAATTTGTTCCACTTGAGAAACCTCTGCTCAACAAGAACATGTCAAACAAGCAACGGTGTTCACATTTTTCAGTAGTCTGGAAGGTATACTACTTAGTGACAAGAACAAGAAAATCTTTAAAAGAGCAGGACATTTTCTGTGTAGTGGCACATTAACATCTGACACATTATGTTGTAAAATAAGTCTGGGATCTCTATGTGTTCAAGATGTGAGGTCATGTTGACTGCAATTTTATTTTCTCAGATAGGATTTTAAGTCATAATAATTAATAGAACATTGTCTTTACCAACAAAGATGATCTAAGAGGTAAGGAAATACTATTAGAAAGGTTATTAGGATGACAAAAGATTTGTGTTAAATTACACTAAATACAATAACAGACACTGATGTGTCTGTTAGCAGAGTGACATGTATTTAGTATCAGTTTACATAATTATCACAACTAAGTATGTTGTTGAATTCCTTTGATTTGTGATTATGTTGCATAATAAACATTCAGGTTTTACAAGTGATTTTGTTCCTTTTTATGCCCCAAAACAGTGAACATCGTGGCACACATCCATGCTGATGAAGGATTTTATGCCTTGATAAGGTATGTCTAATAGACGTGTAAACTAGCATGCAAACTTATTATTTATTTAGAAGAAACAACAACAACAAACAAATTTACATTTACTTCCATTGGCATGGTAATTACTTTATGCCTCTCTAGAATGAGGTATGCATCATCAATGGAGACCAGATGTTACAGCTGGTTTGAAAAATAAGTTGCATAAGCACTCTCCAGTGGCCTAATTTGGCTTATCTTCCATTATAATTAATACGCAAATGAGAGAAAACTCTTCAATAACACATAATCTGTTTATGAGACTCGCAGCAGAACAAAATTATCATAGCTTCTTGTTTCAACCTTCACCCTCTCTGCCTGCAGCTTAGCTGAAATAAAATAATAAAAATAACGAATGACAAAGCAGTTACACTCTTCAATTAAAACCCCTTGAGGACCAGTGATGAGCTCTAGATCATTCATTTTCATAATCAGAATAAAACAATGCAAACGAATGGAAGTCATGTTTCATTTATTTCTAATGTCAGCAGGCAGTATGAATACAGTTTTTACTTTTTACCTGAAGCTATATCATATCAATTTACATGATGTGTGATGAATACTTAGTGTATTACATCATCTGTTGACTTAACATTGTTGTAAGAGAGCAGTTTAATTAAATTAGTTAAAATTAAATTGAATGTTTGTTTTATTATCAGCAAGAAGATTAAGAAAATAACCAAAGCACAAGACAATGGTCTGCTAATCTCCTTAATTATCTGGGAATTTGACCAAAGAATAAAAAAAAAAGTCTTATATTTATATTGAGGCAATAGCTTGGCAGTTACCACAAACGATGAGATGTCTTTTATAATTTTTTCGTGTTTGATAAATGATCAAAGATACTCATTCTCACTATCCTGAGCTGAATATGGCATTTACCACATTGTCATCTACACTTTCTTAATGTCACGTGACTCTTTTATCACAACATGGCCTCAATTGATAAGTTAAACTTACCCTGACAATGTACAGTGAGTAAGCAGGGGTTTGGTGCCCTGCTGAAACTTTGGTATGATACATAAAGGTTGGATCGATCAAACCAGGGACTTTACAGTTGAGCGACAGCCTAGACCAGATCAAGCTGTTGCTGGCAGGAAGGAGACAAAGAACTTTTCCGTGAAAAGATGAGAACATGAAGCGTGTTCATTTTTCATACTTTGCCTGTCTCAGTGTGTCAGAAAGACATCAGAGTGCTCCAGAAATCTCTCCGATACTTAATCCTTCATGCTGCAGGGCAATCAATAATTTTACTTTGATACATTTTCATAACAATTTCTGACCTCACTCAGAAATCAGAACATCTTATCAGTTTCTGTACATGTATGAAACAAGTCTCATCGTGACTTGCTTCATCAAGCATGAACGGAACGGAAGTGGAACGATCATCAGCATTTCAAGGTTATAGCATATGGCAAGACGTCTGAATCCACTGACATTTCTAGCTTTGGCTGTATCTTTGATGTGCAGGGATGCAGCGGGGTAGTGCATATAGAGCATGCATAATAAATTAAGCCCAAAGACACAGAGCAAGTCGGCCTGGTTGTTTTCATTGTTCATGCACAACCTTACAAGAAGACACGACATACCGCACATGCACAGACAAGATCAATTCACCTAACTCCTGATTATACGCTCTGACAACCAACACGTGCCCATGGATTGCTCATTAAAGCTCTGAGATCCTATCGTTGCTTGTTTATATTCATGATGTTTTTGCAGTGGCATGCCAAATGTGGCTTTGCAGTCATGACGGAACTTTGAAGTGAGGTTTTTGAAGAAAAGATATGAGGCCGAAGGCAGAGCTGACCCTGCATTACCAATGGTTCTTTCTTTGATAGCATATGTGTTCATTTGATGCAACTGGAAACAAGTGACTCAAACAATGTGATCAGTTGCAGTAAGCTTTTCATCTTACTGCTATTTGTGGGTGAGGGTTTCAGACTTATTTGATTCTCTAAGGTCATGCAAATGCACCTGGAAAGCAGACCATTAAAATGATCTCAACCCAGTTATGATTTAATAACCTTTTAGCTATACTGTGTCTTTGTGTTGTAGGCTACCTGGTTTTGTAAAATGCATGAATATTACTATTGTATAGCTTTTGAAATTCAAATTCTGTGTCCTTGTGACTGACTAGGACAAGGTACCATGAACTGACAACAAACATTATCGTCCTCACAGTAATTCCTTTCTCTCTGATCCTTTCTGTCTCTATTCGCTGTATACTCTCCAAGAAGAGATTCCAAAAACCCATCACAAATAAATAAAAACTGATCTCATGAGGTTGTAAAGTAAATGTCATGTCTAGTCCACTTAACAGTCCAGGGTTAACAACAAATTATAGAAGTTAATTCTAACAAAACTTCAATTAAGTGCCCCTGCACTTACAAAGGACATGGCTGCAGATAAGGACATCTTCCAGCTCAATAATCGAATGGACCTTTGTGTAGAATATTTGTGTAACCTGTATAATACATTATGCAAATATAGACTTTCTGATAAGGATATTAGCTTCTGTCAGTTAAAGTCATTTTGTCACAGGTGAGTAATTCAAGTCCAATTCAATTGAATAGCAAATAGAATTCACATCACATGTAATGAATAATGTGAGTACTTTTAATTACATAACAGGCTTTAGAATAAAATAGAATTTGTCCAAATACAGGACGTAAGACAGCCCCTTTACTAACTAAAACATCATGTAGTAAACACTGAAGCTATTACAAATAGCGTGAACAAACAAGAAAGGAATAGCCAAAATATTTCAGTCTTCATATTTATGTTGCTCAGGGTCTTTGCCCCCTGATAAATGAAACTGAAGGCTTAACAATTCAGAGGCAAGACACATATAACACATGAAAAATGAATCAAGAATTAATCACTAAAACAGAGCTCTGTCATCTGCATCTTCAAGGACAAGGCCGTCTGGCCTGTTTAAGTCCATTGTTTAACACTACACAGCTCCGGCTTCATATGTTTGCTTTCATTTCCCAGAGCTCCTGCCATTGTTAAGATCCCAGACAGGTCTGGACCTGTGCACTGGGTAACACAGGGCTGGATGACTCACTTGCAAAGGGCCTCATTAGATAGAAATATACATGATGTGGAGAATAGTTAACAGCATAACACTGATAAGGCAAAGCACAGTACAATCCTTTGACACAATGTATGTCAAAGTGCAGATGTTTCAGATTTTACATATGAACCTCAGATTTATTTAGCTTTGCAGTCTTATATTCCAGGATTTATGTTCACATGCAACTATTTTGCATTAACAAAAGCCTTTCAGGGGAAAACATAATGCTGCTTGGATTAAGTTTTGCATGAAGGCCCATATTTCCTTCAGCATTAAAAAGGTGTGTTTGTTGGAACTCGCTTTAGGCGCACATTTAAGTGAAAAGGGCATTACAGATTTTCTCACTGTGTATAGCTTCATGCTCTCATCATTTGAACCATATTTTTCAATAGCAGCAACAGGCCACTACAGAGCTGCATAAAACCATGAACCTTAAACCTCAGTTAAAGTTTCCCTTATGTATTTGTTGTGTGTTATGCTTTTTTTAATCCACATCAAAGAGCTACACAACATCACCAAAGAAAAGCTTGATGAGATTTACCCAGATGTCTCCCTCGTGTGACATGGCGCTTCTATGGTTCATGGTTCTACGTAACATCCATGAGTAGGGGTCTGCTGGATAGAGTTTGTCAACCAAAAATCAAACACATGATTTTGCTAAAAAAAAAGGCTTAAAATAACAAAGAATTTGCCTCTCATGTTCTGAAAGAAGCAAGATGTCCTCTTTGGAAATAATGATGGAAAGTCATCCCTGACCCGGCATTTGCTTGATATTTTCTGTCTCATGATAATGTTTTCTGCATGTGAGGAGAGAGCTGGAAAGAGGCCTTCGAAGGAATGAAAAAAGAGAGGTTCAGTCTAACAAAATATCAGAAAACATTTAATGTTCTGTGGATAATCCTTAAACACACAGAATCAGTAATACAACTCTGCAGTGAAAAGAACATTTAGAAATTCCAGACTTAAATAGACCCTGCGTTAAACACCTGGTAATGGGTTTAATCTGTAACATAATTCTTGAAAACCTGAAAGAGTTTCACAGGCATTCAGTACATCATGTCATCTTGCTAATATAAGCATATAATTACTGCTTGGCTGAGCATCTAGTGATCAAACATTCCCAGTTTCCAAACCCATCAGTATGTCTCAGCAGAGTGCTGGAAGAGGAGAGTAATTGGTCAAACTCCAGCTGAAATTATCTGATAAAAAGCAGACTGTTATATCATATGTAGCATCAGTATTTATTGTGCAGTTGTTCATAGTTTGTGGTGTTTTTAAACTGCTCAGTGTAGTTTACTCATTCACTGCAGGTCTACAAAATTCAAAGCATGAGGGCCATGCCTTTTGTTATTTAATTAGTAAGAATAAATTAAGCACTTGAATGTTAAAAAGGTATTCACATACACGCATGGACACACACACAAACACACAAACTTGCACAACTGAAGAAATTGTTCCAATGTAAGGACTTCAATCAGGAAAAGGCAAAGCAGAGCTGCATAACATTATCTTCAATTAATCCGACCTAACACAATAAATTGAAACCTGACATGCCTCGACATTTACTCCTGAAACATTTAGACTTTCTTGCATCCGAACGGTTGTGACACTGTTGACAAAAGAAATAATGAATGTTGAAAAAAAAACATTTAATGATTTTCCTCAAAGAGATGATGCTAGACAGCCTATTACAAAGGCGTGTCATTTTCTGTGACACATCATGTGATAAAGAACTGTACAAATTAAAGTAATCTCATCCGCCCCTGCAGGGAAAACCTTGTTACCAAATTGTTTGGTAATGCTACGGAGACCGTGTGGAAAGAGTCATTAATGCTTTGGCAACACTATGAAATTATTTAACTGGCCAAATGCTCTCGGGGTTTGTATCCTCCACACCACCAGGAAAAATCTAATTATATAAATGCCTCTGGATATTCATGTGACTGAATATTCTCATTCAAGTACACATGTGACATGGTCCAACATAAATACATTTGAATGATTTCAGAGACTACTGGGACACTGTAGAATTTTATAATTTGTAAAATAGAGTCATACATTCATTTTACATACATGCATATACAGTCTTAGATTTACATCTGAATATCTGTGATGCAATACCTACGCTACTCCTGGAAGGCTGAATAATTAGTTCAATGCTCCCGCAAGCAGAGAAGCATACTTTGCTCTAAATTCATCAAGGGTATAAAACTGCCAAGATTTTAAAATAATAATAATAAATACAATCATAGTGCACACCAAATTCCTGTGCATTTGTTGTAATTGTTAGGGGTAAGTAAAGCCGCAATATGCTCACTGTCTGTGAGGCCCCTCAAAAGCCTGTAAAGCATTTTCCGGTTCAAGGACAAGATGTTATTGTAACTCATTTTGCTTTAAATGTGGAGGGATAGTTTAGTTTAACTTTCCCATTAGTGACTAAGGACCGGAAAACAAAGTCAAAAGCCACACACAAAGGCATAATAATAATTTTCCAATGCTGCAATATTTTTCATACTTACACTTGTCATCCAGGATCACTTGTCCTGTTATCAAGTGTAATGAAGAGCAAGGCTGTCACAGTAGAGGCACCACAAGTAAGTCAGTTGTTATGGAATAACCATTTTCACTCTCAGATTTCCTTGGAGTCATGGTTAGATTTAAGAGTTTCAATTTTGAGGGGCCAACTTGGTCACTCAAAGGAATGCAAGCATCTGGTAAAGTCTTGAAGCTGTCTTTCCATCATTCAACCTAGTTCCCATCAGTTAATATGATGTATTTACAAAGTATTTATGGCTTTTGGATCATTCAGCTTAATTCTTTACTGAACTTGTCTCTGCTGTTTCTACTGCCATGCTGCTGAGGCAGAGACAGAATGAGCTATACCGAATAATCAATTAGATTGTACAACACTGACTCACTCTGAGTACTCACCATTAGAAATACATTAAAACAGTTAACATGTTCATCCTGTATAATTGAGTTTAACTACGCCACCACCTGTTATTAAAATGGCAAAACAATGCAATAATAAAAGTTGATTGACTTTTGATCATAATGAACATAAAAACAGACATGTAGACAAAACAAATGGAAAGCAGGAACAGGCTACAAAGTAAATATTTAAGACAGTACAGTAGAAAGGCTTTGATTGTTTTCATTTTGTGGCAATTCATCAAGCCAATAAAAAAAAACAATTTGAATAACGTAAGCTCAAACCTCAAGTATCTCTGTATTGTTTTCATATTTATGTAAATATAGAAAAGCATGTTTCTACAGAGAGTGAGGTTTTATAGGATCCAGGTCCACCACCAGCAGCACGCGGGAAACAGAGCTGGAACTCCAACTCAGCGGAAGTCGTCAAATGACGTAGAGGCGCGCAGCATCCCCTCGAGCGGGACTTTAGTTGCTGATTAATGAAACAAAAAGTTTTGTGACGTTCTCAAACAGCGTTTGTTACTTTTATTTACTACAAATGGCCCTTCAGATTGAAGCGGATTTTCCACCCGCCTTTGCATGTCTTAAAGTAAGTTGTATATGTTTTAAATGGTAACTGTTTTAACATGGCTACTGATGTTAGCTCTTAGTTAGCTTAATAAAAACCTAAATAAATAAAAAACAACTAACATTAGCTAGTCCTATCCATAAAGTAACGAGAAACGTTAAAGCAGTTTAACTTGGATTAAAACAACAACAACAACATGTTGAGCTAAATAGTATAAATCCTTTCTCTGCCACTGACTGATGTTAGCTACTAACTTAACATCAACGTTAGCTGACCTATAGCTGCGATGCTAACTAACGTTATGCTAATGTTTACTCACGTTAACTAATGTTGCATTGATCCTACAGTAACAGTGGACCCGGAATCAGTGAACTGTGAGCCTTTCTGTAGGAATGTGTTTGAAACTCCAGGCCAACTTCATGGCTAAGTGTCCGAAAGGAAAATCAACATTTTAGTTCTGTGTAACTCTGTCAGCACACATTATGATGATAAAAAAGGGTGTTTATAATTCTAAAATGTGTGTATACAATATATGATTAAAACATGCAACTACTCTATTACAGTAAGAATGTTTTAAACTAGCTTAGTTTCACCAAAAAAGTAATTATTCATCCTCTGTAACTGCATCCTGCAATGTTGCCAGATGTTGAATGTATTATTGCTTTTTTAGTTTTCTACACTTTCTGTGTCATATTTTGGTTGTTGCCAGGGAACGACAAGTTGATTTGTTTGACAAGTATGGTTTTTATCTTTTTTTTTTTTTTCATCTGCAGAATGTTGATGCCCTGCTTCGATGTCCCATTTGCTTTGACTTCCTCAATATTTCAATGATGACTAAATGCTCTCACAACTGTAAGTAACAAGAAGAGCAGCTTTTAAAGTAGCTACGGTGCTAATAACTGTAATGAGAAGTTTGCAAAAGCATTGAGCATAGGAAAGCAAATCCATTAAGAGACCTGTATCTACAAGCGAAATCCAGTCAAGATCTTTTTGAAGTGGAAATTGTACTTTTGCTTTCTTTGATGTTCTTTGAAATTGATTTCAAAGCAATAAGAGTTGAACATTTGAATGATAATGAATGTCTTGTCTTGTATGTGTGTTTGTATGTTTGCTACTTGCTACAAATAGAGCGTATGTTAGTTTTGTTATCGTTCTCACCATGAGCGAGAGAACTGTAGTCATCGTGACTGTCTGTCCCACTGGATCCTGCTGGTTTCTCTGTGTTTAATATCAAGTGAGTTCCTTGCTTAAGTTGAAGCAAGTTTATTTTAGGTTGCCTGCATCTGTTTTGTGTCTATAGACTTTGCATGCTTTTGAATCCTTTTGCTTCTGAATTTTGCTTTGTGTTTGAGTCTCCATAGACCACCGTCCTCATGTGGATTGTATACAGTTGTGCACTAGAGAGAACGAATCCAAATTATCACTAAATCAAAACTTTGAAAGAAAGGAAATTACCTACCTGCTGGCTAATTGATAATTACCTTTGTTTGCTTTTCATTTTACAGTTTGCTCCTTGTGCATCAGAAAATTTCTCTCTTATAAGTTGCAGTGTCCACTTTGCAATACAGTAAGTATGCACTTAACTCTTAATGCATAGTTATGTTCCCAAATTTCATTTGCATGATCTTTAACGTCATAACCTCAATAAAGATGTCTCAGTTGCAGGTCATCATCTCTAATTAATTGTATTAATTTGATTAAGGTGACAGATTTAATTCACAACCCTCTTCTTTCTCTTTTAGCAAGCAACAGAACAAGATCTAAGAAACAATCGTTTACTGGATGACTTGGTCGTAAACTTTCAATCTGCAAGGTAATGTTCAACACATTATAAATGGTTACAAGTAAACTGTCTGAAAGTATCAGAACGTTCTCTGTAAAAGGACCAGAGTGCATCCTGAATCACAAGTACATGTGTTTTATAAAACAGTATTATTATCAGGGTGAATGATAAATATAAAATATGAACCAACCTACATTGAATTCAGGGTACTACTGTCAATACAAGCAGTGAAAATTTGAAATACAATACTGCCCTAAACGCTAAAACAAGACTCCGTTTATATACCAGCAGCCTGCCCTAGTACATCTATGTATCAAAGACTGAATAATAAAATAAAGGCGTCAGTTGATCGGCTCTTCTGATCGCCGTTTATAGAGAACACTGATCAAACTAATTAGAGCGAATATCGGCCGATTACGATCTGTGACTGATCAGTCAGAGCACCCTTTAAGTACTATTAAATCCAAGTATATTTCCGTCCTTTTAAATAATTAATTTGATACTGTAGTCTGCAGCATACAAGAGTTTTTGTGTCATTATTTTGAATTATTTTGCCCCCAGAGATAGACCAACAGAATAATAAAAAGATCAGGAAATAAGACTTACACCACAATCCCTGTAAAACCTATTCGTCATGAACACGTGTGTCACCTGAGCCTCTCTCCAGTTTGTCTTATTATGGTTCTAAGAATTGAAGAGAGAAATAACTACCATGGTGATTCATGGGATCCTGTTGTTATTGACGAGATTACAGAATGTCTACAAGGGAAACGATTTACTTCAATTTCCCAGCATTAGAGAAACACTTGTAATTGCCTCCCAGTAATCTACTTCTGATTTTAGGATTTTCTGTAAATGAAATGGGGATATTGTTTTCATCAGCTGAGGTCATTCAAGGTTTTCCTTGTATTGCACTTCTTTTTGTTGTGTAGCTTCAGGGCTGATATTATTTTTTCATTACAACTGCATTGTAGGCGTAGGGAGCGGTGTCCCAGAGCTGTTCTAAAGGAAATGTTTTGGTAAATTTTTGTATTTTTTTTCTTTCTCTACCACTATTAATCACAGTGTAGGAAAATATTTCCTTTGACTTGAGTGTTCTGTTATTAGTAGCACTGGTCACATGGGTACAGCTAGCTTGCACTCTTTTGTTGTCTTAGGCAGACTGATACACGCTGCTTTTCTGCATTGTCACGTTAGGAGAAATAAACTGAAATGTACAATATCAAGATTCAATAGGTCACCCTAGCGTCTGGAATTATTTATCCCTTTTGGTTTAGGGACATATTTCTTATAATGTAATCCCCCACTTTGTGTTCTTACTAGTCTTTTATCTGTGCTAATGCAATAATGACGCAAACAAACAAGAACACACTTCTCCTTAGGTAGGGTAGGGTAGGGTATATATTTTGCTTTGCTCTTGCTGTTTTGGAAATGGAGACTGGAGTGTTATCCGTGTTTTAGAGTGTTTTATATCTGTCCATATCTATCCATTTCCCGAGGAAGAATAGATGAAAATAAGCCTGTCTAACTCTGACTCCTTTCCGATCATCAGTGGGCATTTTCCCTGGGAAAAAACAAACTCAAACTAAACTCATCAGAAGTGTTTCTTCAATGTCTGGGCTCATGTTGATATAATGTCCGAGCGCTGTTATCGGTCAATAAGCCATGATGTTTCTCCCTTTCATCAATCACCTCAATGTTATCAACGCTCTGAAAGGTCTCCCTTCTAACCGTAGACCTTCTGATTGTCATCACTGTTACGAAAGAGTGGCTTACGCAGCTGCTCTTTCCTACGTTTTTTAATTTCCTGTCGAGTGTCTGAAAAATGGGATTCCTTGATAGGTGACTCCGTCATAAAGTGTTGTTATGTAACAATATACTTGTCTCAAACAATTTAGTCTTGGATTAGTTCCTTTGCTTTGAAATAAATAAACATTTGAAGACTATTTCTGTTTAAGTTTCGATGTTGGGGTCTGTATAGAGTCATACAGGGAAATATACTTGAGTCCCTCTTGCATCTGAGCATGTGGTTGCTAAGTTTTCTGCTTTAGCAAGTGTTTGTGGATTGCTTCTGTCATTGGGTCACTCACATTTCTCCCTGTAACAGCACTGCACTGGGTAGCTGATGGCACTAATTTACTACCATTAAACCAGAGGCCTATTTCTCCAGCAAACCATTAGCTGTTATCACAGTGCCACACATTTATATTATCAGAGTAACCAGCTACATTGTAGTCTCTCTTCTCACTCTGTAAACTCATTTATTCAGGTAGAAATGGAGCTTGTACACATTAAAATGTCAGACAAATTATTGAATCTGCTCTTTTTTTGTTGTGAATACAGTGCACGTTGTTTCCTTCTCTCGTAATGGCCCATCTTCTGGAGAAGCTTTAGTCTATGGGTATTATTTGCTCTATTCATTTTTCAAGGGATACACCAATTATGAAATTCTGTGCAGAAAGCGATATTTCAAATAGCAATTTGGCCGATACCAATGTTTTTTGATAAGCATTTGTGCCTTGTTGCAGTTCAGTCTATTTCTCTCTCTCCCAATAAACCGTTGAGTAATTTTTATTATTAAAATGTTCTAATTTTTACATTTCATTTGTATGTGCTTTAAATACAGCCAGAACATCTTTTACATTTGTCATCGTCATTGAAGTACAGTATGTTTAAATGAAATTTTAGGGTTGAGTAATTATTAAGAATATTGTACATTGTGAGGGGTGTGAGAACTTTGGTCAAAAAATTATCATATTATGAAACTTGTGCGTCTCAGAGGGTTTCCAAATGAGTTTGGGTCAGCACACGGGCGTGTGTTTAAGGTCACTAGCATCCAGCTGCAATAGTAGATATTCTTGCAATTAACACTAATTTGTAATTACAAAAGGTTATTCTTCACATTGAAGAAGGAACAAGGACAATTTAAACTCAATTAGTATGTGTAATTAAGTAGATGGTATTGATTTGCTTTTGGCTCTTTTGGTCACTATAGGTCTAGGAAGATCAATGAGTCTTTAAGTAAATTGCCTTTTGAATTTTATTTTTGAAGAGGAGTAATAGAATCTGTCATCGTGCAAATGCTGGAATAAGGCAATAAAAATGGGAATAGGTACTCTGTTACTGTCTTCACTTACAATCCTAGAAATGGTTAAATGTTTTTATTTCCATTATCTGCCTGCTTGATAATGTTGAATATTTAAAGAGGTGTTTGTTTAGTGCTTCACAAAAGGCACTTTGAAGTCACTTGAAATTGAATTACCCTGGTGATCTTAAGAGTCCTTGTTTAGCTGATTGTTCCCACCATTTACAGACTATAGGGGAAACAGGAATTCACACATTAAAGGTAACAAAATTGTCATGCAGCTTTCTGAATAATGGTATTGAAATACTACCAGTCTGTCACGAAGTAATTATGGTGTAATCTTTGTTACTAATTTTGAACACGGTGCACTAAATATGTGCTAAATCTTCTAAAAATATAGTCTGATTAGCTCCCCTGGCTAGTGTGTTACCAGTGGCAACAGCCAGTAAACTGCTGCGGTACAGTTGTATTTAAGACCATCTGACATAATAAAGTGATGGAAAAAACCCTGTTTGCTCAAATGAGGCAGAAACAGTTACAACTAATGGCTATAATGTAAGGTGATATAAGGTGGTACATTTGAATTATACAAGTCGTGTTGAGTAACAGTGCCGTTAAGTAACAGTGCATGTATCTTTTAAAAGTATACAATAAGCTACAATTTTGGTAGGGACAATGTTAAATGTCCCTACTTGACCTGGAACCTTTCACTTTGTAACTTGTGGAGGTTTTGGTAATTTTTTATTTAAAGGGAAAAAAAAAAAAAGTCCTTACCTTCTCTAAATATACTACTTAGCTAGATCATTTTTCGCATTAGAAAGTTGAGCGGTTAAAATGTTTTGGTCAGATGTTTCCACATTTGTGCAAAGCGACTTTGGCAAGTGTGTGTGTGCGCGTGTGTGTGTGTGTGTGTGAATGTCTGTGAACCTGCTCTAATGGGGACAATAAGCACAAATAAGTTTTTAGATATGGAAAGCAGAACATCACACACCTCATTGGTTCCATTTTATTGCCAAGTAATGGCCCAGCTGCAATTTGTTTGCTTTCCACATTTCCAAGACTGTAGCCAAAGTGTCTACTTTTTCTCGCTCAGTAGAAAAGGAGCGAGATAATTGACCAGGTGCAGTTATTGTCAATGGGCTTACTTTACTGTCAACAGAATTTATTGGCACATACTTTTAAGGGGATCTTCAGTCTGTTATGCTATATAATATACTTTTTGTGAATATTATGTCGTGCTAATAAGTATTTTTTTAGGTAGATAATTTGTTGTTTTGTGAAAGAAGTGTGTGTATCAGAATGTTTTTTTAAGCTTTCGAAAAGGGAATAGTTACCTGCATGTCTAAATCATACACTACACACATTTTCACTTTGCCTTTCTTCTTTTTCCAGGCAGCAGTTGTCAGAAGCAAATTTTGACTCTCCTCCAATATCGCCAAAGACCCCAGCTTCAGCTGTCAAGTGCAAAACTCCCAGAGAGAAAGGCCAGAAGTGTAACATCTCTGTTATGAGTCAGTTTTTCCAAAAGAGGCCTAAACCATCCCCCACTAAAGAAACCCAGCAAGAAAGTTCTGTCGCTCAGTGTATTCAGCGGGGAAAAATAGAGACTGCACGGACCCACAATGCAAATGACGCTGACCTACATTCAGCAACCACTCAACTTCCAATAGTTGTGAAGGAAGAGCCGATGGATGTGGAGGAAGCATCTATCCAGGGTTTGATGTCCGTCAAACAGGAGGACAGAGGCTCACACAGTATCAGCACTTTGGTTGAGATGGCGCATTCCTCGTCACCATCACAAGACATAAAGCCTGTGCCCAAAGGTGAAGCTTTTCTCCCTCTAGTTTAAAAACGCTGCACCATCCCATCTAACTGGCCTATTAACTCACAATCAACAATTACGGTAACTGTGACCTGGAACCAATATGCTGATTCTTTAACTTTGCTTGGTATGGGAAATCCATTACACTAAGCCACCTTTAGTTTGTGTCAAAAGTAATTTTTGTGTCATAGTGATGCAGTTGTGAGCAGGAGCTAGTTTGAAAAAGGCCTGTTGGTACATTTAGGGTCGGTCGGATGCTACAAAGTTCTCATATGTAATAGGGATAAAAGACCCAGTATGTTCCCTAAAAGAAAGGTTAGCTTAAGGAGCAAAAAAGCAAAACATAAAATGGCCCTTAAGTAAAGGGTTTTTTTTTTTAATTTAAATTTTTTTTTATTTAAGCTGTTAATAATATCATCTTGTGTATCTTTTTGCAGTGGACTGCCCTGTGTGTTCTGTCAGTGTGTCCCAGCAGTTTATCAACAAGCACCTGGACACATGTCTTTCCAGAGGAGAGAAGAAGGAAAGCTTGCGGAGGTGAAATACCCACTTAACTGAACTACTTAAATAAAAGCTCTCTACTATTGTTTGCTCAAGCTGTTATGCTCTCTAGGGAGGTGGGATAAAAGTTAGACATTTAATAGATTTTCCAAAGATGAGAGGGATGAGAGAAGTGTGGCAATATGCACTGATCAAGGGTTCAAGCATTGTGTGTTTCTCTTTTTTTTTTTTTTTTTTTTTTTTAAAGAATGAAAAATGTAGGGATACGTAGAGGTTTTAAGAGCAGTTGTGTGCTGGGGCCATTTCTGAACCAACAACTGACAACTCTACATATAGGGTTGCCAAATCAAGATACAGATCTATGAAACTGAAAACCTATTTAAGATTTGTCTATGGGGTTTGTTGAATGTTCGGGATGAATCCACTTACATATGCAGTGGGTTTGGATTGCATGACAATGATATAAGAAGAACAAATATTTTTTTCAGGGTTGAGTTAGGCTAGTAATTTCTCCCCGTTTCCAATATTAGCTAGGATGCACTTTTGACTTTTTGACATGCACACTAAATGCCCTGAGTGCTAACAAGCTTACTTTGTTTGCTTACAATGGCAGAATTACTGCAACTCTTACTAGATTTGTAGTATTACTAACAGCCAGGCTGCCCTCCTGGGACCCAGCCCACTGACTTGTGTCCTCTGTAGTGGACATTTTGTTCACATGAATAACCTTATACTCTTGGAGCTACTCTAATCAATCCCTGTTGTACTGCAAACACGCTGGCTTTCTTTCTTTCTTTCTTTCTTTCTTTTCAAAATGGACGACATAGGAGCAAGCACATTTTATAGAAATAGGAGAGATAAATCCAATATTGTTTATCTGTTTGTTTTTTTTACTATGATAATCATATATGTTCTTGTTTATTAACATGTCAGGAATAATATATTTAGTTCTCAAATCAGTTAAATTGTCTTTGTTTTGAAATAATAGCTATTATGAATGTCAACTGGACACCAGGACTATCTTTATGTACTTAATGGCTCCACATTGTTGTAGGAGACGCAACTGAAACAGGAAGGACTCTTTACTAGATTAGTGTGGGAGATTCAGATGTGGACCCGTCAGATGATGACAGAGATGAGGATGAGTTTGAACCTGCGATAGAAGAATATGATGAGGAAGAGGAAGACGATGCAGGAGGCTCAGATGAGCCGACAGATACAGACACAGACAGGAAGAGGCTGAAAACAACATTGTCCTCTGTGGACCAGAAAATAACAATGTTTGTGTTATTTAGTTCCAGTTATACAAATTCTATTTTTTCAGTAAATGGGGTAATTCCATGTAATGTTACACCCACAAAATGTTTTCAGACACATTGGTACCCAATATTGGATTTCCCAAGTGGTGTCATGAAATATATGCAAATTGCCTCAAGAATACAAAGTTTGTACTTATGAGTATGGCAGGAGAACGTATGAGATTGCTGTTAAATTAGCAATTTATTAGTAAGGTGCTTCAAAACCTGCATCACCCTGTTGTGGTTTTATTTTGGACCAATGACTTTAAAACGCTTATATTTTTTATCTTCTAAGTTTGGATTATTTTTTCACCCTAAAATGATCCTGTGGTACACTACTATGGACATTCTACAAAACCTTTAAAAACAAATCTGAATAAGTCCCTAAAATCCTAAAAAGGTAGGAAATCACAAAAAACAAGAAATTACACCGATTTTCCTTGGTTCCTTGGAGGCTACATATCTTGCTGAAGACGCGGTCTGTGACATAACTTCAGAAAACTGAACCTTGTCAGTGGCCTTTGAAACTTAGTTTATCATTATGATTAATGACCCACGCAGCCGTTACGAAGTTCTGTTAATGATTGGTCATATTTGTGTAGCAGTGCAAAATCTTAATCTGGAGTAGACCTTGATGTCACAATGATGAATTGCAGAGGTTTTAATTCTGGCCTCATGTAGCCAGCCAGCACAAAGAATTGATCTTGCTACCAACCTTAATAACTAGAAAAATGGAAAAAAAGGCATATTTGACTGCCTTGTCTGATTATAACAGAACCGTGGCTCATCAGAGGTTTGTGCCTTCATCAGTCTGACAAATGGCAACTCCCATCAGTTAATATCAATGTATGAGCTCAGCTGATATGGCCACTGCGTCATCTATATGATAAAGTTGACATTTCCATAATAATAATTTTGTCAAGACTTTTATTTAGTACAGTCGTAGAAGTTTACAGCTGCGCTCAGAAATATCTCCATCAGGCATTATCAAGTAATATCTGGTGATTACTCAAATAAACTAGTCGACATGTCTGTTGCAGCTCCTTTGGCAAGGGGAGGCGTCCAATGGGGAGGTTGGTGTACAACTTGCTTTCCCTGCAGGAGCTGAAGAGGAGGCTGAAGGAGTGCCATCTCTCAGTGCGAGGTTCTCGAGACCAGCTGATCAAAAGACACCGGGAGTTTGTACACATCTACAATGCCGAGTGTGATTCCCTAAACCCAAGATCAGGTGAAGGCATTTAGTCTGTTATACCATGAGTGTGATACTTAATGTTTGCAGAAGATGGACTAATGTAACTTTTGCTACTGTTTTTGGTCTTAACGAAATGTATGTGTCGTCATTGATTTTCTTGGTTTTGGTATCTGTATTATATATCGGCAATTGGCGGCCCAGCTTTTTAATGCGATTTTTGGCCATTGAAATCCCATATTGGTCGACCGCTACCCATTGAAAGCAAATATGCACATGAATTTAGAAGGTGAATAAGAAAACCACCAAATTCATATTGAACCTATAGGTAAACATCCAGCTGGGAAGGTTCTCAGTCATTTTTTACACAGAAAATGTATGTACACATTTGATCTTACAGGTTATGTTTTTCTTTATTGGCTTACCTAGGTAGGCCTCAGTTTTGAACAGGGTCCTCATGGGTCAAAACCTTTTTATGTGTTCGGTAGCGCAATTCATATAACGGGCAATATTTGTGAACTCAAAAGTAATGAAGATTTTTCTTTCCTCTGTCAACAGCTGAAGATATTGCCAAAGAGCTGGAGGCCAATGAAAAGATGAGGAATCAAATGCAGGGGAAAGCCAAACCTGTACGTACTAACGGCTTGAACTGTTGTTTGTTTTGAGTAGAAACATGAAATGAAAAATAATCTAAAATCATGCTTAAATAGGGCAGTTGTTTTCTCATTGATGCACATTAATGCTAATGTAAATGTTTTTGTCAATTCAAATCTCTTGTAGGTCTTGGTGTTCTCAAAGAAACATACTGAGAAGGAGATTGATGAGATGCATTCAAATTATAGTAAGTGATTTTTTTCTTTTCTTTTCAGGACACTCACTATCAATTGGTCAACACCTTAGGGGTCTGACTCATAAAGCTGACGGCTAAAAAACGGTGGCAACACAAGTAAACTGATGAAACTGTTTTGCATAACCTCAACGAATTCTGTTAAAAGGTGCACTGAATACAGACTTGGCTGATGGCCAATATGCATATGCGGTCTACGCCGGCATGTGAGGAAATGACTAATCCTAATTTTACTAATTAAAAAACTGCAACAAACAGCTTTGCAGAAAGAGAAACAAACTAGCCAGCCATCTTTGATCACTGTTAAAAGGTTTGAAAAAAAAATATCTCAACAATATCAACAATGTTTTTGCCATGTGTACAAAATAACAAAAAGTACCAGGGAAAGTCAATAACTGTAATAGCTGTTACTGAAATTACAACCTCATGTCTCCTTTCCCCTCTTCCTATGCATAGCCAGGGTACAGACTAATTTCAAATAGTGCCTCAGGGTACACTCGGTTTAAATCTAGAACATTATTAGAAAAGGACGCATTTTATGATAATCACCTCCTGTTGGATAAAAAAAAAAAAAGTTTAAATGTTCCTGATATACATTTACACCATTACTGAAAAATAAGATTTTGATCACACTTTAACCCTCTGTGCTTTGTAGCTGAATGGCCAAAACTGTCCAACACTGTGTATGAGTTGAGTGAAAAATGAATGAATGCTGTTTTCTGTAGAAAAACATGACAAGCTGCAGTGAAACACACCTGAAATGCAAAATGTTGTTATCTCAGAGAGATGGACCACTTCTCTCCAGAATATAAATTTGGTTATGAATTCTGGTTGAATTGACCAATTTTGTGTTCACTGAAATGGTTCATAATGTTGCTTTCTCCTTTTTTTAACTGTCAACATATATTTTAATAGCACTTAAAAAACAAATATTAAACAATGCTTTGGTGTGATTTTTCCATTCTGCTGGAGTGATGCACACTACGGCTCCGTTGAGAAGGGCTCCTCTATCCAGTCCTCCTATTTGACTGAGGGTGAAGCTGTGAATCATATTGACTCTACTGCTTTTAAAGACAAGATTCGCCAATATAAGCAGGCAATGCATCTGTGCCTCAATGAGGGCAAGGCAGCATAACTAGAAAATAACTTTAAAGCTTTTCACTTTTGTTATACAGTATATCTGAATATTTAAGATATTCTCTATGAACTAGCTTCAAATATGGGTGTTTCATACAGAACCAAAATTAAGACCAAATAGACTTTATTAATCAGATATAAACACAATTTACAACTTTCTGCACTAACTCCATCTGCCTAGTACAACTTTCCTGAAACAACACTATAACGTTAACTTATTTAATTCTATTTCATCTTCTTGTGTTTCATTTTCCCTTTCATTGCCTTTTTAATTTATTCTATGTATTATGTGTTCTCCGGGAACTGCCTTTTGTTTGAAAGGTGCTGTACAAATAAAGCTGGCTTTGCCCCCACACGCATACCCATGAGACAAGGACAGGGATTGAAGGCAGCACCTCAGATTTGATCAAATGCTTCCCTCAGGAAATTTTTTAACCAAGGTGGAATACTGACTGTTATTTTTCTCTCTGAAGCTTTTTGTTTTATTACATAAAAGTGTAGTCATTTCGTCTGACGTTAGCGGTGACGGCCTTTATTTCAGGTGTGGCGGCCCACCTCTACTTTGTAATTCTTTTAGAATACCTCAAACTGTAACATGGCCTTTTTTTTTTTTTTTTTTTTTTAAAAGAAACCTCCCCTGAATTATTGCCCACAGAACAATGCAGGGCACAAGCTGTGGCCACAAAGGTTTTAGGAAACTTGTCTCAGAAATAGGTGTCTCAAACGAGGTTTTAGGATTAGATACACTTTGGATATCCTAATGACAGCCTGTGATGACCGTTTTCCAAAGCAGACCATAGGCTTTTAAACCGAACCTTATTTTTCCACCAGAGACCTGAATCTCGCTTGATAGGTAATTTGTCACAGAAACTGCAAGACATTTTTGTCATAGTTGAGTGATTGTTGCAGTGGAGAAGTAGAAACTGTTCCTCTGGAAACTGAAGAGGCAATATTCACAATATTGCGTACTTTTGTGTCTTCTAAAACATCATTAAGATATTGTGTATTCAATGTGTCACCCAGCCGTAATCTCAATCTTATTTTATTCAGTGTAGCAGTTCATATACCTTCCAGCGCATTATCGGCAACAGAAACCAGCAGGATTGCTGTCTCTTCAGTGAGTAATTTAGCAGCAAGGGGTGTAATGAAAATGTAAAACTAATGAGGTGACTTAGGTTTTTGCCATCCAGTGTTATTATGACTTGTAGGGTTACTTGGCTATTAAGTGCATGTCTAAGATTGTTTTCCATTTGCTATGAGCTCATAGCTAATCACTCAAACATACAGATACACAGAAATCTACACCAGGTCTGTGCTTTATCCTCAGAGCAGAGGTCAAGCAAGAACAGCAGCATCAGAGAACATTATCCGAAGTCATGTTGTCATGGTCGAACAAGATGAAAATCATGTTGGGAATAACTCTGTAGAGCTAACTTTAAAAGTGGTTGAAAAATGGATGTGACTCACAGGAGGTGGGTTCTATAAATAGCTGCACTGCTGTGATAACCTCTTGATTTATCAGAGGGGGATGTGGATGACTCACTCTGCCAGCATGAGGAATTGTGAATGAGCAGACAGGAAGGTGAAAGCATCACACGCGTCTGCACACACAACGAATCCACCGGGGCGCTGGCAGCCTTTTCTTCAGTGTGACAATATGTTCTTTTAGTGTTAATACAATCAGTAGCTGGTTGTTCAGACAAACATTCTCATAACTCAGAATAACCGAAAGGAAAAACCTGGAAATCCTGCTTCATGGGAGGAGCCCCTGAGTCGTTTTAGCTGTATATGTACTTCCCAACTGCATTCTTTGAAAACAAAAACAAAAAAACAATGTCCACTGTTGCACTTTATTCTGTAGTCTTGAGTCTGGATACATGACATTCAGTTTTACTTATATGTGGCTTAGATGATCATTTTTTAACCTGGCTGATTCATCATACTGGATAGTGCATTTTAAAGCTATGTGTACTAGTTCTGCTGCATCCCTTGTGAAATTAACGTGCATGAGATGTCACCGTGATTTGTAAGTCACAAAAGGCTTTCTCTACTCATTAATGCAATGGTAAAAAGTTAATTAGGTTTTCCATATGTGCATGCTAAAACAATGGGAGGGCTGGATTGCTATTTAAATATTCTTGCTCATAGTTACCAATAACAGCTTTAATGGATACATTTAAACACATATGGACCCCAGGAATATTAGTTGTTGCCAGGGTAACAACTCATAAGGATCATGATAAAAAATAACAATTTTTGCCTCCAAGTGAAATGAAACCTAATTGTTTACATATGAAATTCTGCCATTGTCAGTGGTTTCCCTAGAATTGTAACTTATAGCTTATGTTTGTGGCTTTTCCTTCAGTTTTATTTCTATCAACTTCAGATTTTGTTATTTAGTACTTCCTCTTGAAACTGTGACTTTTGTAAAACGGCAATCCTGAACTTAAAGTAGCAGTGGTGATATTTAGATCACACAATGCTCTGAATTTCTGTGGAAAGTGATTAAATCCTTTTTTTTATTTTTTTTTTTTGGATCACTTCCAAAACTGTTCTTCTTTTGTCCACTTCCATTCACAGTTGGCTGTAATTTCTTTGCAATGACGTTTTGGCCTCCTTTTATAGTAGAAAAAGGATGTTTTTCTTGCCACAGGGATCTCATCTTGGAGCTGGCATCTGTGGTGTTGAATAAAACCTTGTATTTTCCTAAATCTATACAACCTTTCAAGGTTGGGTCTTGCCATTTCAAAGTCAACATATTAATATGACTGGCTTGATGTGTTACAGATATTGAAGAAAAATGACTCTGCATTCCACATTCATTATAAATATTAATGTTTTCCCAAACATCATACTGTACAGAGTAGAGCATACCTCAGATACAGCAGGGAATTTAAAATTCTGTCCTTTACCTATTCCATTACATATGCTATTTTGCCTGCAGGGAAGCAGCACAGCAGTGACTTTTCCCGCCTCATCGCCCAGGTTAGGGGTCGCCTAGAGACCACCAGACAGACTTGTATCAAACAGGAAGTCATTGTGGAAGGAGAGGATGCACCAGATACACACTCTGCAGGTACTGCAACACTTATTACCTTTCTCGAGGAATAAAATATACTCTAACCACAGGAGTCTTTTAAGCCTCTCTTCAGTACAAGTCACCTGATCCCAATGGTAACCTGTTGCAAATTCCCGTTGTGTCTTTACAAAACAACATTTGCTATTGTAAAACGGTTACAAATGAATTGCTTTGTGATGATAAATTTTGTTAGAAAATGCTAAATGAGTCATGCAGTACAGCTTGATGGGGTTGTGACACTGGGTGTGTGTGTGTGGGTGAGTTTTGTGGGGGAAAAAAGTGCAAAAAATAAATTCACAAATTGTCAAATTCACAACATGACCATGTGCTCCATTGTTGTGCTCATCTGGCAAGAGTGGATAAAGATACAATATTCAATAACTGTAATCAGTGTTTGTGTGACTTGTTTTGGGAACAACTGCAAATGCAGCAAACAATTGACCAAATGTTAGAGGAAGTGCAGAGAAGGAAAGAGGGATTGTAAGGTGGAAAGACTTTCAACACTACCAAGGAACTTGAAATATTATTGTAGATTATTTCAGTCTAAAAATCTGTATTTTCTTTTCTAAAGTTTCTTTATTGAAGATTCTTTATTATTGATTTGAACAACTTAATATGTACATATACACACATATTAGTATATGTATAAATCTCTACACAGACACACAAAAATACAAGACACATAAAAATACAAGACACATGAACAAAATCTCAGTACAAACAACAAAATAGTCAAAACAAAAACGAATAAATAAAAGTGATGAAATGACGATTGTACTAGGGTAATACACTTTAGTTTAACTATGTCTTATATTAATGTACAAATGTTTATAACGAAAACACTGCATAGAGCTACTTGTATATCCCGAGATCATATGGGCAAAGTCTGTCATTCCTAGATAAAATACAAAGGCACCCCAGATGTCTTGAATGGGGGATTGATTACCCCGTAACAGCATATATAATATGCTATTAGATAGCATAGGAAATTCAGAAATCCATTTACCCGTACTCAACCCCCCCAAAAAAACAAGTCGATCATAGATTTGAGCATAATTACAAACAGCACGTATCACTTGCTTTCTCTAAATAAGCCTAGCAGCCAAAACTCTACATGTGGGACTAAGAAACCAGACATGCTCCTTCACAGGACCATTGAAACTCATTGATAGCCTCTTGTCTGTGCTGTCAACAGCGTGCTGCAGGAATCCGGCAACTCTTCCTTTATAAAGTTAGTCAGAACAGAGGTTGTGACTTTAAGACCAAATCCCTGCACGTCTTTCTGCCTTGTTTGTCCATATCACAGATGGTGTTTTGGCTGTGCTGTTGGCACTTTATTTATTTATGTATGCATGCAGCTTGTTTTGACTGGATATTACAGGATTAAAAAGTGGCTCACTTTATTTAAAAAGCAGATGTAAACAGATAGTAGTGAATGTAAAAATGTAGAATCAAACCCTGCAGTATTGAGGTAGCCTGAGAGACTTTGTTTCTTGTTCTTATTTAAGCTTCAAGTTGGTCAAGGGAAATTGAGTTGTTGCACCACAGCTGTGCCCATCTTCTCAGGTATCACCAGTTAATTCAGGAAGTAGTTGCCCTTTGGCACATTGCAACTGTGGCAGTGAAATTGTCTTCCTAGTGGCAGCTGGATGGTTCAACAACAAATACAAGTTTAGAACTAAAACACTTGTCTCTAATGATGATTATCTTCAGCATATTTCATACTTTTATATCAAGACCCCTAAATTTGTCACAGTGCTTGTGGACAGTGGCTTTTATTGAAGGAGTCAAAGTATTTTAACCTCCAAGGCCAGCTATGTAGAGCTGCATGTAATACATTTAGGCCCAACCCCCACTATGATATATGAATTAAATAAGAACCAATTAAATAAGGACCAACAAGTTTCAGTTTATAGCAGGGGGGTGTTAAAAACACCAGCTGATGCTGTGTTAGCTGCTGAGCCTCACTGAATAAATTATGATATTAATTGTTCTTTTTTCGTCTGCACATTTAATTTCTTCCAATCCAATTTTTGAAGGAGCTAGCGGCCTCTGCATCTGAATGTGCAGCAATTGCCATAGTTAATGTCTCCTGGTCCTGTCGATTTGAGCAATTTTGCCTTAGCCCTTTTTAAAATCATATCCAATCACATTCAATAATGTTTCAGCAATAAAGCCGAAAAAAATACAGATTAAAAAAAAAATTTAGCAAGTTTGAAGAAGCTACCAGCCGCAGCATCTATATGCGCAGCTGTTGCCATGGCAAAAGTATGGGAACATAATTTACAAAAGGAACATCGTGCTGTATGGAAGAAGACTTGAAACTAGCAACTGAGACCAAAAAGTCATTAGGAAACTGTTTACTGAGTTTACTGAAGTAGGGTCATTTTCTATTACATTACATGAAACTTGGCTTCTCTTTGCTACTAATGGATCTGCACCCTGGTGGCGATTATAACTATACTGTTATGGTTTACTCTCGCCTCTCACATATAAATGTTTTTCGACACTGCAGAGAGCTGTTTTCTGCAACCAAAAAAAAAGTTCTAAAAACCCACGGTACGTTACCTACTCAGCAGCAAATAACAGACTGACAAAGTTAGCAACTACTTGGTTCACATAGTGGAGCTTTTAGCAGCTAAAGAGAGAGATATTTCCCTCAGGAGTTGGAACATAAATAGAGCTGAAAGATAGTGAATATTGGACTAACAATCACTATGTGGACAGAAGCACAACTCCAAATTAATGATCATGTTACACTATAACTGTTGAATGTGTAGACGAACAACTGTTTGCTAACAGGTTTGACTTATCAACTGAAAAGATGATTATATGTCCATGTTGTGTTCACAAATTCATACCCTCAAGTGGCCAAAAAGTCAGTTATTGCAGATTTAAATGAAGTGGGATTTATACTTACTAAATAAATGACTTAATGGTGCTGTATGTTTAATATTTTGTGCACATTATACAAATAAAAAGGCACAAAAGATTGCATGACTCCTCCCACTGTGTCAGAGACTAGGTATATGTGATTGTATCAACAGGACTGTTACGTTTGAGACTATGTAAAAAAATCTGGTGATCAAGGGAGACATGATTGTCCAGGGCATTCATTTTATGCATACCCCTTTTGACAGGTAATTTCCCCACTGTTTGATTCCCCCAGGATACTTGACATGATGATATATATTTTTGCCTCCTTTTTAGATCAAGTTGCAGAATCAAAAGGCTGCTCAGTGATAAAGGTAGAAGATGAAGAAGCCGACGCGGAGTCATCTGCAAGAAGGATTGAATTGTCAGCCAGCCCCACTTATAGTGACGTGTCCATTAGCAGGTGAGCCCTAGATATGGGACACATCCTGATTCACTTACAGTAGGTGACACCCTCAAAGCATGTTGACAAGGTTTAGTCATTTTCATGCCACCGTAAGGTGGTATCCTGATTTTTGACTACTTTTTCACAGTTTGAATATGACTAAATGTAATTTCACAGTGACAACGCTGCAAGATGGGTATGAACCTCTCTGATTTGTTTTGAAATAGCTATGCATGTCACTCGTGGAGTTCATGAATGCTTGAGCTTGTTACTGACTATCTTCATTTCAGAAATATGGTAGCATTTATTTTCATGCCCCTTATGTGGCGTTCACAGGACAGCATTGTAATGATCTGTGATTAATTTAATATTTAATTAGAATTTATTGTGAACTACAACATGGTATTGTCAATTATTGTGGTAACTCAATCTCAGTTAATTGCATTCAGACCTAAACAAATTAGGGTAAAATGGAGACGACAAGCTTTGCCTGGACAACAGAATGAACCAACACATAACATTTAAATACACTTCCTCATTAAAATTTTTACTTATGATATAGACTAAAAGTGAAAGTATTAATTAGCTGTTCTACTTACATAAACTACAAAAATGTAATGTTGCGGTATAGTAAATACACAATCACAACACATTCTAAATTTACACATAGGTGAAATGTTGTATCATGAGGTTCCTTCCAATTCCTGACCCTAAAGTCTGTATGTCATTCATGTAGCTGGTAACAAGCAAAAAAAATGCACTTTATGCCTTTTATTCACTTCCTTCAAAGTATTTACTACGTATGAGTCTGGACAGATGATCACATGAAGGGCATTCATGTGAAATCCTACAGGTGTACAGTCTAAGCTCAGTCATAGCTTGTGTCACTATAAACAGCAGAGATCCCTAGCTGTTTTTAAAAAGTAGAGCCTAGTAGCCAAAACTCTACATCTGGGACTCTTGATAGCCTCTTGTCTGTACATGTGGGACTAAGAAACCAGACATGCTCCTTCACTCGACCATTAAAACTCATATTGATAGCCTCTTGTCTGTGCTGTCAACAGAGTGCTGCAGGAATCAGGCAACTGTTCCTTTTTAAAGTTAGTCAGAACAGAGGTTGTGACTTTAAGACCAAATCCCTGCACGTCTTTCTGCCTTCTTTGTCCATATCACAGATGGTGATTTGGCTGTGCTGTTGACACTTTTTATTAATGTACACATGCAACTTGTTTGAACTGCATATTACAGGAATCCAATGTGTCACTTTTGAAAGTAGATCAACACAGATAATAGTGGATGGAAAAATACAGAATTAAGCCGTGCAGCATTGAGGTAGTTTGAGAGACTTTGTTTCTTGTCCGTATTTATTCAGCATCTTGCTTACTTTTATATCAAAGACCCCTAAATTTGTCACAGTGTTTGTGGACGGTGGCTTTTATTGTAGGACTCAAAGTATATTTTCAACGCATAAGGCCAGCTTTGAGGAGCTGCATGCGATACATTTAGGCACCCTGACTAAAATAAATGATATTGTGTTTACCTTCCACGAAAACACAATATCACAATTTGTTCTTTTTTTTTTTTTTTTTTACAGAATTGGTATAGTTATTTTCTCCCATATTTACTCAAAATCAGCAGAAATATGTTACTGATATAGTTGTTGTTTTTTACAGCAGTTTTGGTTCTCATATGTGCAGCAAGAAATCAGAGAACTTGTAGAAGTGATCTGTGGCAGTTCCAAATGGAAAACCCCAGTGTTTGCTAATGGTGTGTTAGACCAACAGACAACCTTAAACTACAGCAGCTCTCAGATGAAAAAGCCCATCTCTCTCAGTTTATGACAGCCATTTGATTTAGTTTAATCTACTTTGTTTAATGTACATTCTTGAATGCCGCAGGTATATCTGTGTTTTCTGGCAGGGTCAAACTTCAAATATATCTCTTTCAAATAATTTCAGATGTCGCTTGAACTGCACATCTTTTTGTTTCTTGTGTTTTTTGGTCAGACCTTAATTTAGAGACTTTAACTTTATTGCTTGAGGGGAATAATGTTTTGTTATAATAATCTGAGGCTGGGGCCTTTCTGTATGGAGAGTCTGTTGTCCCCATGTCGGCATGGATTCTCTCCAGTTCTCCGGCCCACAGTCCAAAGACATGAAAGTTAATGGGTTAATTGGTGACTCTATGTGTGAATGTGAGCATAAATGGTTGTCTGTCTCCGTGTGAGCCTGTGATGAATTAGTGACCTGTCCAAGATGTACCCCGCCCAATGTCAGTCGAGATCAGCTCCGGCACCCCACAGCCCTGTAATGGATAAGTGGTTGTAGATAATGGAATGGATGGACACATCTTTCTCTCTACTGCACTTCAATAACCATAGTACTGACACCAGGATGGTGTGGGCTTTACTTGATATGCAAATAAAATACACATCAGTGATTCAAACAACCTCAAAATGTGCAAAAACAAGAATGTTCTTTGCTGCAACAATAGCTTGTTAAGGTTGCTATATAGAGATGATAGTAACAGAAGAAGCCATAAACTATATGTTTGTGCCAGAGGAGAACCTAAACAGTTCAGATGAGCTGGTGTAACAACTGCAGAACAGCCATGTCATATTTAAGTAACAACAGCATACGTACATTTACATACTTAAATTTCACTTATAATAAGTTTTGAATTTCTGAGAATGTCCTTAATTAATTACTCCACAGACTTTAAACAATATGTCAAGTCCTAATTTGTCAAGACAAATTTAATGATATGCTATTGAACCCACTCCAGTGTTGATTTGACAAAAAAATTAATCATACATCAAGGACTTTTCAACAGGTCATAATATAGTCTAAATTTAATACTGATGTCTCTATATGACCTACATTAACAAAGAAGACCATCAGCGAAAAGATTAGCTATTTCTTTATAGTTATCCTTAATGCCTGTCATTGGGTTGGGTTCAGTCTCGCTCCCCTCAAAATAGGGCTGGGAACTATGAGGGGAATAGTCGTATCTCAATTTAACAATTCAACCATTTTTTCCCCATTGTTTTAAAAATCTCGATTTTACTCCTTTTAAAATAACCTCCTGGGCCATAACATATTTCATCTTGTCTGTGCCATGGCCTTTCCACTCACAGTTGATACAGTGTGATACATAAAAACACCTGCTCAAATTAGTCTCAAACAATACGTGTCATTTATAAACTGCAGATCATCAGTCTATTTACAAAGGGCTTGCTTTCAGGGGAGTTACTCAGGTACAAACCAGTGCACAGGGTTGGTTTATTGAAACAGCAATATCCTGTATCGGTTAAACTTTTTTATTCTCTCTCTTTCTTTCTCTACTCTCCCTTTTTTCCCATTTCAGTTCTATTTCAGACATCTTTGGTCCAGAACCTGCCAGAAACCTTGAGTAAGTGGTTCTGCTGTCATAGTTACTGTCAAGAAAAGTAATGTCATTTTAGTTTTTTACTGACACCCATTAATGCTAGGAATGTCTATTTTCCATTACAAGTAATTGCATGTTTGTGTTGATGTATAGATTAGATGTCAACACATTGTTGCTGTCCTTTCTGCAAGTTGATAAACAATATACATGAGACATACACTACCACACCACCTTACCACCTTTGTGCCACTTGATGCCACTTGAAACCCACGCCTTACACTTAAATTCTACCTTTTGTTTTTCTACTTGTAATTCATTAAAAAAAATAAAAAAACATTGGCTCATGGGTTATACGATGTGCTAAAGTGTAATTTAAAAGAAAAGGTCATATTGTATTTGTATTATATAATTGTAGTGTTGCTTAAGCGGTGAGCATATATTATCAAATCCTTTGTTTTCTGGGTATGGTCACATATCTGCCAAGAAGATGTTGCTTTGGCCTGGTCAGTGTCAAGGAGCGCACTTACTGATGCCGTTTCAAATGAGTTAGCATTTTTGATGTTGCCATTTAATATCGTTTCAACATTACCCAAATAAGGTTGATCGGTGTCAAAATACAGTTTCCATCTAAACTGCTATTTCTTGAGTTGCTTGAGTTCTGGGAAAACATAATGCTGCCACACAGAGGATGTAAATGACACCTTAAGCCATATCATGATGCAAGCTGTGGTCTGAAATGGACTATGCAACTAGCTACTGTCTAGATAAGTCTGAAAATTAAATGGATATTTGATGCATTTTTGGATATTACCAAAATCTGGATCTCAGTATAATAATACCTTGACATTCCTCGTCTGTCACTGTTTTTGACCAAGCCTACGATTATTTAGTTGAGAAGCACTTAATTGTAGCCTGCAAGCCACAATAAGACTAAAAGAGCAGATCATGTCTGCAGTACTGTATGTTCTTAAGCCTGCTTTTGTCGACGCTGCTCTTCACTCACAGCTTAACGTTTTCCTTGTGTACGTTTGGGAAATTCACTTGTTATCAGAAGCAGCAAGATAGCACTGCTCATCAAGTTATTCTTATAAATAGTTGACAGTTTTTCTTGAGTTAGTGTCCCTGAGCTTGTGGTGATTGTTTAGACAGCTTAACATCCCTGGAAAAATGATTTTATCTAATTAAACTGTTTTTCAGAAACGGAGTTATGTCAGCAATGAATTTAATTGTCCAGGGATAGGGTGGTCATATTTCTAACCAATTACAGCTGTGACAAGTGGGCTGAATATTGTGACTTTATATATACGGTTTTTGTAAATCTGCTTTCTGTATTCTGTTTATCATCTTACTATTAGCTATTACTGCTGTCATCTCTGTCAAAGGGTTTTGACAGTGCAATAAGCCAGCACCACACAGCTCTTCACCCTCGAGAACTCACATAAACAACTGCAGTGACCCGCTGCTCATTTACTTGCACACTGTGCACTAAGATGGAGGATCATAGCTTTTAGTTACAGAAAGTGGTCCCACATTGCCTATGCAACATTGCTTCTTCTCTTTGTCATGTTTTGCTGGTGGTGTAGCCTTGTGCTGCTAAATTAACCCTGGTCATTGGTAGGACAACTACAAATAACAGTCTAAAGTCAATGATTATAAATGCATTCTAGCATTCCTAACGCATTCAGATGACAGCCTGTCCTCGTCTAGTTCATCAGTATGCCCACAAATGCATATATTTTGTTGGAAGAAAAATGTAGATTATAAAATTAAAGGGAGAATATTTTTCACACACAAAACCACCAAAGCACATGCATCGGGAATGTGATTTCACCTTGTGCTTGTGGATAATCAAAATTGTTTCATTTCTTTCTGAATCACTTTGAAGCAAAGTCCAAACCTGCCAGTGTTTAATTCTAATGTCATCCCTCCACACATTTCTCTGTATGTACACCCGTAGCGTTGGGCCTTGGAATGCCTCCTCTGTTCAATGTGCAGAAGCCGAGTCTGTACGTGTAGTTAGTGTGAAAGGAAATTCTATTTCCATCAGGCAAGGCTTTATCTCTGTCCTCCAGCCATTGTCAGACTTTGGCAGTGATGAGGAGTTAACTGTTGATTGTTTTAGTTCTGATCCACATTGCACAGAGGCCAACTGCCTGCTTACCAGTAATCCACTATACTTAGATGTCTCCCCATCCTTGTACTGCCCACATGCGGACTTCTGACCCAAATTCCAATGCTGGAATTTTGTTTTTCTAGTCTGTACAATACATACGATGAAGAGGCTCTGGACCTTGTCATTGGCTGGAGGGTGATATACATCTGAAGTATGATCAGCTGAAGACAGCCCTTCATGTGAAGCTGTAAGTGTTTCCACATGTGGTTTCAGGGCTCCCCTTTGGCTTCTAAGCCATGTTATCTGAACATTTGTTAAGGAAGAGATTTCGGTGTCCACCAGTTTAAGTCAGAGGCGATTCAGTATTGCGGCTGTAACCTAACACTGCATGCTGAGCTGTGGAGCCCAGTGGAGCTCACATGGAAGCAAGAAATATTGATGTGGCTGTAGGTAATCCATAAGAGAAAACAGCTTATTTAGAGTCATGGAGCGCTCGTTCCAGATGTGTTACTCTGACAACAGGTTTCATTCACAATAAAAACAGACTTGTAATAGTGCATTTTCTTTTTATACCAACTGAATCAATGAACAAATTTTAAAAATGGCCTAAATTAGTCAAATAAAGTCTTCCAACTCCTGTTTACTGAAAGTAGGTTGCACTGAGTGTGTCAGTAGGGTGCACTGCATTTCCCACTCATACATTTTATGGAAAACAACTGTATTTTGGCAATTCTGTTTCCTTCAGTGCTTAGTAGTTTAGGAAAGGGATACAATTTTTGTCCATATGTGACAGTTTTCACCTAAATATTCAAAATTGCATTTTAAAAATGCAAAGTTTACACTTTTATTCAAATTACTGTATGTTTAAGTGAACATTAACCTGATATGTCCCCAAATTGTATGTAGTCTAACACTGGGACTGATTTAATTAAGATTCAACTCGTCATGAGAGGCGCTAGAAACTTAATTAAAATCATGAGCTGTAGTTCAGTCAGGACCACTTTTGTGTAAAGAAATCTTTATTTCCAAATGCAGTATGGCTCTGTGCTGGGACCTCCCTTTCCTTCTACGTGCACATGCAGAAAGCCTAAGGCAGGGAGCGCACAACTACCTGCCCTTCCACGTGCATACATAGAACGCCTAAGGTGGAGAGAGTAGCAGCAAAGACCCCATAGGGTACAGAACAGAGCAGGCATCAATGACAACAGAAATGACATTGTTTAAATCAGATGCAGTATAACAGGAGGACCTGGGTTGTAGACAGGTTGCAAAGCAGCTTGCAGAGGAAGCAGCGAGGGTAGACGGGCTAAAGCAACTTAAATATAGCGCCCAGTGTTACATATGCCAGTTGGACACTTGAAGGGAATCAGTTGAGCCATCGGCCGGTGGACATTGTATGGATTAGGCCAGACTTTTACCACAAATTGTTTGCCCCCAAATTGCCATAAAGAAAACTACCTTTTCTCTTTATTGTCAACATTCCTAAGGCGGTAATTGTCTTTGATTAACTTTTTACGATCAGGGGTTTCAATTCAGAATGAGTAGAGATGGGAATTGAGAATCAGTTCCAAATTGTCCGATCAATGCCATTGATCCACAGTGTGAACATAGCAGTCATACATTTTGGCTGTGTGCAGAAAGACAAATTTGATTCAGAAAAAACACGACATAGAACAGTTTACTTTGCATGTCTGAGAAAGAGAATCATTTTTTCTGGTAAGAAATCTGTCTTTTAATCTGCCCAAAAATGGAAACGTTTTGCCTGTCACTTTGTTGGATGGACAGCCACTAATGTAAGAGCTTTGTTTTAGCATAAACATTGATTTCCCCTTTTTAATTGGAGACTTAAGATTACACCTAAGTGATTTTTACTGGTGTGAGCAACCACTTAATCCATTGTAACGTATTTGCTGGATGGATGACGCACACTGTAGCTCAGGATGGAGCCAAAATATTTTTTCTATCACTTTAGCTGCATGATAATCAAATATGAATGCACTCAGCCAATTCACCTCCCTCCATTTCCTGTTAGTTGATTGCAAGTCTGCAGAATTTATTGCATTTCCTCTGCAGTAGTTGGTCAAAGTAATTGGGCTTTGGGTGTTAATTGACTTTGTGAACTGCTGGTTACATAGAGGCAAGCAACTGCTTGCAAATAGGCATTCATTTTACCTTCTCATTTAACACATACAGTACATTATGGCTATTTTTGAAGCCTTGATAGACTTGATCCACATAACGGTAATGGTTAAAGTAATCATGTTTGCGGATGCCTGGCTGGAAAATAACTTAATCTCTGAAGTGATTAAATTGTAAGCTTGTTCCCACACTATGAAGTGTGTCTTTTTTCAAGATACACACCCAGGTATGATGGTGGATGACAGGAGAGAAGAGGGCAGGTTTTCACCGTTACTACTGTAGATGGATTCAAATGATGCATGGTCTTTATGACTTTAAGACTGTCTTCTGGGGCCCATAGCTGATACATATTTCAGAAATGAGCATCATAGTTAGTGTAATTTACTGGTGTAAGCTTTTTTGGGACTGATGGATTGTGTGCAGGAGCCAAGCAGCTGGTGTATAGTAAATGTATATGATTAGTGCTCAGCCGTGTGCCAAAATGGGACACAGTGCACCTGTTTAGATTTACTTACGTGTCAGTGTAGTGTGTTTTACTTTTCATATTTGTAGCTTCAACAAAATGTTCTGGACATGAAAGTCTACTAATGATACAACCTTTATCTTTCTTTTCAGTAATTTAGCATTTTTCCTATCTCCTGCATTTACAAAAGACTAAAAGGTCATCTCTGAAAATGTTTGTTTTTTAGAGACACGGAGGGCACCTCAGTCCAAAAGCGGAGATCCAGCTCGAGAGGAGACGATGCAGATTCTTCTCCCGTCCTTGGAAAACGACGGCGTAAAACGTAAGGAGAGATGGAAGAACGGGAAGGAGGGAGAGCAAAAGATTTTCACTGGATCAAATCGATACCAATACATTTTTGACTTACTTTCAATCATGTTAAGAAGTCACTTTGATGCACATTCCTGTCTGGCATTTCACAGTATTTTTTGAAGTTGCACTTTTCACTTAACTGTGTCATGGTTCAAATAAATGTTTTGTATTTTAACATATTTTGTAGTCTTGTTGTCCATGATGAGCTGAATTTCATCAGGTTACTTTAGGAGTAAGACTATGACATCAATACTTGAATCTATCCCAACACTATTTTGCGTGATAAAGATTTAGTTTCTGTGTTAGAAAGTAGACAATTTTTGTTTAACAGTAGGCATACGAAGGCAGAAACATAGGTTTTTTTATATCCAATTTGTAGCCAGGCAATATCCCATTTTCTATCGCTGCTTGTAATTGTAATTTTAATTTTAATTATGTTGTTTTTCATGTTTTTATTTTCTTAATGTTATCGTTTTCTTTGCTACATATTTTAATGTGGTATGCAGTTTAAACTGAAATAAAAGAGGCATTCGGTTGTTTTGCATGTCAACGGTTTTAAATAATTTACATAAAAGGTTACAGAATAGATTTATCTTCCGACAGTATCCTCCCATGTAGTCATAAATAGATGTTGAACTTTTTGTCTGCTGTCTGCCGAGCTAAAACCTTTGGATTTAGTCGCTTTGAAAATTATCCCCTAAAATTATTTCTGTCTTTCTGTTGGCTAACCTATCACCTCCATCGTCAAATCTACCCTTGTATTTGGGTCACTTGTTTGCCAACTCAGATTAGGAGCTCAGTCGCATGGGATTCATCTGTCATTTGTAATTTGAAAGTGTGCAGCAAATCTGTAGCTTTGAGATTGCTTGTTTTCTTTAAAAAAAAAGTAACCGGGGTCAGTTTAATTCAATCTACCCCGATGCCTGTGGAACCCCGAGGTCAAAGCGACAGGGAGTGTAAACACTTAACATGGGGAGGTGGTGTTTATGTATACGTGCACGGGAGAGTGAGCAGGGAACACATTTGGGAGCTGATCTTGATTGAAAACAGAGCTTGCCTGGAGTCAGAAACATGGTGCTTCTGACTCTGTTGTCTCCCTCCTCAGACAAGGCGGGGGACGCACTGATGGACATTGCTTGACTCGTATCGATGTGGCATGCTCATCATACCACACGCGTCTGACCCCATTGCATCTTTACCTCTTTCGATGGATGCTGTTTGTTTCTGGCTTCATTAGCAGGGATGTTGCTCTTGTTTGAAGCCGCAGGAGAGGACTGAGTGGCTCCTGATCCCTGCCTCGATTTGGGAAGCGGTGAAGCAGGCAGTGAGATCACTGATTCCGTACACACACACTCCGCAGAGACTGTACCTCTCCAGTAGAGATCACAGTCACCTTATTTGTCTGTGTCTGGGTGGTAATGTTAAAGTAGGGTATTTGTCATCTGTCATACACAAGGTGAAACAGGTTTTAAATATCATAAATCTGTCCTAATTATAGCTCATAACAGTGTTTATATCACACACACTCATGTCCTTATCTACCTTTGCTCATACTCTGAATTCCTTGTACACCCATGACAGCCTTTTGTAACCATCTGAACCTCCTAAGAAAGGATAACCAATGTGAATGTCATGGTGAGGGGTCAGATTCTTTCAAGAAGGCAGAGTAGCAGACCTTCAGGGGCACCTTCACCCGAGGACTGTGTGTTATGCACAAACTTCTCTGCCCCTGACTACAGCTCTCATTAAGCTGAGCCTCGAGGACAAAATATGGCAGCAGCGTTAACAGCCCTCTTCTGCCCCCCCCCTCCACTAAAAGAGTTGAAAGACTCTGCCAATGGAGTAACTAATTTCTCTTGATCCAGAAATTACCCAGAGGCAAGCTTGAAGGGGTGCCCACACTAATAGGAATATGTTGGTGTCAGAAGAGATTTCCATTTGACCACGGACTTTTTCGTGATTTGTTTCAGGAAAGTCAGCCATGCAATAACCTGGAAAATGACCAATTATTTTAGTCTGCTTCATTTTCTTGCATTTTGTGGGAATTATAGAAATAACTTAAAATATTTTGATTGTGCCTAAATCAATAAAACAGACAACATAGAGGAACCCTAGGAGACTCCTAAAAATGTTTTAATAAGCAAGCCATGGATAGCATATAAATGATAGTAAGTTTTCTGTATTTTGGAGTCTATTTTGTCTTTTCTTTTATTAGGTAGTGCTTCTATAAACAAATTCTTTGGCATCAGCATTTCCTTCCTTTTGTACTTTGTCACATCTGCATTTAAAAACAGTTCCAAAACAACTTCTGTCCATGCTTTGATAGATCGATGTGGCTGCCAAGTTTCTTGAAACGAGGCAAAAGGAAGCACAAGATGCCGGTGTAATAAAAATGAAGTTTAACTTTGGTTAAAATAAATAATTGATTAGAAATTTGATCACCGAGGAGTAGAGTTTGTTGAAATAGGGCGAACAGTTGTAGGAGCTGGGAGAAGCATGATACTATTAGTCAAGTTTGTAGCTCTCAATTATAGTCTCAGCAGGCCTCATGATTCCCACGTTATGAGATAGTTAATGAAAACCTCTCTACCCAAACAATGACCCTCAGAGTAAAAACTCCCATGAAGATGCCATAAAGAAAAACAAAACGCTAGAGCCTCTCTGGTTTTACAGTACAGCACTGGAACAGGCAGCGTTTAAGGATGCATAACTAAATGGAACATGGTGCAAATTATAAATACAGCAATGTTGAGCTGGAAGGTTTATGTTTTACTTTGGAAATAGTAGCTTGACTATAAAATACTTCCACGCAAGCTCCACCTACTTTGTGTTTCCAGGGATTTCACCTATATCTCGTGGCTGTCCTCGGTGGACGGAGTGCTTTCAACCATAAACTAAACCATGTTCTCCATGACATCACACTCGTGTGCGTTTTTAGTAATTTTCTTGACATTGTCTTGCACGTTTCTTTATAAAAGACTCGAAGATCAGCATAATCTGATGTGGTGGTGTATAAAGTAGTTCAAATAAGCTGAACTCTAATGAATTACACTTTCACAGCACCTGTGAGGAAATACTTATTACCCCAGAAGATAAACTTGTTATACAGCCAGCAGTAACCGCATAACTATCAGTGAAAAAGTAAACTAACTGAACAGCATACAGTATAAAATCACATTAAGTTATATAAAAGGCCAGTGACAACAGGAACACATTGGTTTCTAAGGTCCTGCATCTTAGTAGAATGTACCTGCAGCCAGACAGAAGCAACTTGAACTCCTTAGATGGGGCGGCTACAATCAGCCAGCATTGACCTCACATGAAGAAGGTCATGCCTGCATTTTTGCTGCACACGGTGATGATACCCTGAAATCTGTTTCTGTTTTTGAGAGTTATTAACGTGTTCCAGCTGACAGTGTAGTCTAGTGTCATTTGTAAATGAAGTCTTATTAAAGTCAGACCACATAATACAGGGACTTAAATTTGTCCCATTAACAATGACCATAAGCTGATCTGGTTAAAATATGTCTTATTGTCTTATTAAATTCATTTTTGCTGTAATGGACTCTATTTTCCCCAGACCTCAGCAGTGACACCAATGATTAAAATCATAACAGATAGGAATGATCCAGGCAATTTTCCATGTAGAGATGTATTTTCAGGTCACTGATTACATCAGCACTTCAGTATTACTTTTAAACTTGTGACACATCCAAGCCCTCACTTTGTAGAAAAATCTAATCTGATCAGGATGAGGGGCTGTGTGTGACTCTTTTCCTTCAAACGTATTAAACTTTGGTTACATAATAATCATTTACTTCAGGATGAAATTTAATTGAATTTGTGGGGTTCTAGTAAAGCAGTTCCCAACAACAGGGCTGTGATTGTTTTCTTCCTTGCAATCAAAAAGGACATGATTAAGACCCTATGCCTAATTAATGCAATTAACTACCTGGGCAGATGAAACACCAGCAGCACCAGCGAGTTCATAGAATAGCCTCAAAGTTGCAGTAGGCGACAAAGACGGAGTTCATAGAGATGAACCAAACTCTATACCTAACAAAATCTCCCCAGACAGTATGTCCATAATAAACACTAGCAGACTTGTTATTTAAGAGAGCAAATTGATCTGTTTACAGTCCTGTTTCTTCCTGTATTTTTTCTTTGACGTCTCATTATTTTGGAAGGACCCACAGTTCCTTTAGTGTGCTGACTTTGGCCATTATTGAGCTATTTGACTACTCCCGGCATCCTGGAGGAGTTCTCAAAGAGGTTGAAGGTTGAAAATTACATTGATATGCAGAACACTTTCATGCTTAACTCAACCTGCTTTACTTTGTGCCGTTGTTAACTTTATTAAATGTCCTTGATCAGTTGCAAAGGATGCAAAACAATGAAGCTCTTGAGAGTGCTTTGTCTTTTCTTATCTTTAAGCAGTTTGAAAGAGAGATGTAAATCCTCTTCAATCCCTCATTTTCTTGTCCGGAACAACAACAGCAGGATGAAACTAGGATTCAACACATTGCTGTTGAAAGGATAAAAAAAAAAGTATTGAATCACACTGACAGGCTAAATTACAGTCATTTACTCTATCAAATACTTTCTTTGATACTTAAACTGGCAAGAATCTATTCTTAATAAACTGTAGATACAGCACAGACTTACTTGCAACTACAGGTCTCATTTGCCACAAAAGATAAAACATCAGCTGTGTTTTGTATTTAAGCCCAGTGAGAGTGTTAATCTGTGCTGTATAGTGTTTCTATTTAAATCTGTACTTTTATTCAAGAATGCATATTTTAAAGCATATTCTAAAGGGGATGAATTCACAAGAATTCACTGGTATCTTTTTGTCAAAGCTTAATAGGCTACTCTCCTGAGTTTAGTTTTTGAGTTGATTCCACTTAGAACTCTAAGGTATGTCAAACTAAGACATCAAAACAGTGTAATGCATTGTAAGGTACTTGATATAGTTATAGAGCTTGGTCAAAATCAAACACTTCATTCAGATGAAAATAAAAACAATCACCTTAAATAGTTTTGACCTGGCCACCTCGCTAAAGGATCTAACCTTTTGAAAATTCCGATGATTTTTGTCTTCACAGTTTGATATTAAATCGCTAATTGCAGCACACAACTTGAATCTGTGCATTTCATTACCATACCAGATGGGAGTGTG